TAGCTCTACTTCATGGGTCGACCCGCTATTGCACTACAGGCGGGAACGGCCCTTCCCCTAGGGGAAATAAAAACGAAAGCATAAGTAGCTGAGAGCTAGTAGAAAGTCTGACTCATTTATGTTTCAATAATTCAATATTAAGAAGAATCGAAAAACAACAAAGTTGCATTATAAAATAATGTGGAATAGATATGATAACATTTTCAGCATGATTTTTCGAGATATACAACCTGGCCCATGTTCGCGAGAGATATTGCTCCGGACTCGGAAAGTAAACTAAGTACCCAGAATTTATATGGTGTCCAACCATTCTACATTGGTTCGTATACTTCTGCTAAGTTGTTTCAAAGAAAATTTCAGCTGTGGAGACCAGTGGATCTGCTCATGGAGTTCTTCTCCTTAATAGTAATGCTCAAGAAGTTACTACAGGCCCAGGACCACATCTTATTTATCGCACTATTGGAGGCCAACTTGAATTAGTGTTTTTCCCTGGACCCACTCCAGAAAAAGTAGTTCAACAATACTTAGCATTCATAGGAACACCTTTCTTACCAGCATATTGGGCTCTTGGTTTCCAGGTAAATCATACAAACTTAATTTCCATATCTCATTTCTTCAAGTTGTGCCGTTGGGGATATAAAGATTTAAATGAAATGAAAGCTGTAGTTGCTAGAACACAAGCTGCTGGCATTCCTCTCGATATCCCGTATGCTGACATAGATTACATGAGTCATGATATGGATTTCACGGAAGGAGATGTAATCTTTAATATTATTGCAGTATGAGTGTGTTCATTTAGGATTGGAGTGGTTTCCCCGCTTATGCTGCTCAATTGCATCAGGAAGGATTGCACTTAATTCTTATTTTCGATCCTGCTATTGAAGTCGATTATGGATCATTCCAAAGAGCTAGAGATCAAGTATGAAGACCATAATATCAGAACACATATCTTTTTCCAGAATGCCTCTTTCATTGAATGGAATACTCTCAGCGAAGTTCCCCGGAACGTCGAGGATCTTTATCCATTAGCGAACAACTCTTTGGTAAAAAAATTTTCAAACGTAATTAGAAAGAACTTTCTGTTTCAGATCATGTTAGGAAATGTCTGGCCCGAGAGAAACACAGCTTTCCCTGATTTCCTCGACCCTACCAATAATACACAGAACTGGTGGATTTCGGAATTCGTCAAGTTCCATGACAACGTTAGTGTGAACTAATGTGTCATCTGTAAGAAGTTTTAATATATTATAGTTGCCTTTTGATGGTATTTGGATTGATATGAACGAGCCATCGAACTTTGACACTGATACCTACTCATCAGTAGGAAAGAACCGAGCAACAGCTCATCTCGCTTGCCCAATCAGTGGAACTGATTCACAGTTTGATAACCCACCGTACAAAACAAAAGCGGTAACACAATATTCTCTGTATTACTTTTGTATAACATGTTTCAGGTATTCCTGCACGATGGTGAGCAGCTCTGCTCTAAAACTCTTTGTATGTTAGGAAGAACAGCAAGAAGAAGTGCACGATTCTACGATACGAAAAATTTGTATGGATGGTCGGAAGCCAGATCAACAGCTTTGGCATTGAAGGCAGCAACAGGAAAAAGAGGAGCTGTTATTTCCAGGTCAGTGTTCATGATGTTCATGGAGTCAAATGTTGTTGAAGATCTACATTCGTATCATCGGGGAGATATGGTGGACATTGGCTGGGAGACAATACCGCTCGTTGGTCTGATCTTCAAACATCTGTTATTGGAGTGATGGAGTTCAATTTCTTCGGAATCCCCTATGTTGGTTCTGATATTTGTGGATTCATCGGTACTACGACTGAAGAGCTCTGTCTTCGTTGGCAGCAAATGGGAGCTTTCCATCCATTCTCTAGGTTTGATTACCTACAACTGTCAATGTAATACCTTTTCAGAAATCATAACACACAAGGTGCTCCAGCTCAAGACCCAGCTGTGTGGCCATCAGTTGCTAAAGCCGCAAGAATTGCCTTGTTATTCCGTTATCAGTACTTACCCTATTTATACAGGTTTTCTAGTTAAAAATATCTTTTTTGAACTCTTATCCATAGTTTGATGTTCTATGCCTCTTCCAAGGGAGCCACGGTCATCCGTCCTTTATTCTTTGAATTTCCTACGGACACTTACACTATGGAAGTTGATCACCAATTCTTGTGGGGAAGTGGTCTTATGATTGCACCTTGTGTAGAAGAGGTAAGCAGTGAATTTCTTAATGTTTCTAAAAACGTATAGGGCGCTAAATCTGTCCGTGTCTATTTCCCATCAGACACATGGTATTCATTAGTTCCTGAATCATACGGGCAAGAACAAAGTGTTGGGTTAGGATTCTTCCCAGCTCCTTGGGACAGTTTAACTCCAGTGTTTGCTCGAGGTATTACTTCGAAGTAGTATCATGTGCTAATCAAATTTACTCATAGGTGGAAATATTCTGCCTAGACAAGCTCCAAACACGACAACTACATTAACAAGGAAAAATCCACTCGAGATTTTGATCGCAACTCGCAGAGGAAAGCCTTCAGCAACTGGAACCTTATTCTGGGATAATGGAGACGATGCTGTGCAAGCCAACGGCTTGGTTCCTCAGTATATTATATTCATTAACTATCATAAAAACATTCTTCATTACAGTTATGAAATAAACTTCTCCTACTACTCTACCAGTACAGCCGTCCAGTTGGAGGTTAACTGTATACAGACCGCGGAGGTAAAAAGTCTAAACTGGCTGCCATTTTAATCTCCATTCAGAGTGTCGCTATTCCATCTTTGGCAGTGATTGAAATATTAGGTTATGACTTTACACCAGACTTCAATAGTTTCAAGGCTAATGGAAAAACAGTATTTACAATGCGTGAAAGAAGCTTATTCAACTTATCTCTTTTCAGGTTTTAATTGACCAGAGCACTTCTTCGTATAACAAATCAAAGAGAGTGCTATATGTGAAAGCGAGCAATATCTTGACAAACATGAAGAGCTCAACAACAATCAGCTGGAATCATTCTGTGTAAAAAATATGTAAAGTAAATGAAAAATTAATGATTTAAATGTATCTAAACATCGAACTGGTAATACTTTTTTCCACATTCCGTCATTTCCTTCTTATTACAATGTAATAAGGAGAGAAAGAGATGGAAGGGGGGGGGGGGTTGAGGGACAGGGAGAAAGGGAGAGAAAGAGAATCGATGTTGAAGTCTTGTAGAACTTTCTACAAGCAACAGCATCAACTCGTTCAATCAAATACAGACCGACTTTTAAAAATCTTTGCTCCAACCAATGAATCAATTGAAAGGGCGTCAGTTTTATTGCTAACATGCCAATGATGTGATTACGATGTTTGATGTGTATGTTTTAAATAAGAGAAGAATGTTTCTAAATATGACATGCGACGAAAATAGAAGATTCAGGAAATATAGAAGACTCAAACATTTACATACACAGACTATCACTTTCTGTTCCTTTCTTACATCGAACGACCTTGATAGATGTCCATGTAAGCATTGAATTGAAAGATCGGCTGATGGCAAAAAGTATTTCAGAAATGTTTCTGTCAGCTTTTTTTTATATTCAATATTACTGTATTATCATGGTCAGAGCAAAAACTGATAGAAACGATATGATTATCAGAGTAACGAAAGCTTGTTTCTCGCTGACTTCTCATCAACTTGTTGTGGTTTTGACTGCTGTCAACAAGGACAAAAAATGAGAAAGTTTGTTTTCGTCGTCAATCTGCATGTGTTTCCTATTTTTTGATCTGAAATTCTATAGAATCATTTGATTTATATTATATGCTCGTTGATACGTAACTTTTACAAACATTTTATTCTGGCTGCCTTGTTATATGTACTACTTCAGACGTAACTTAGGATATTTTTGTATTATATGAAAATGATACACATTGAGAAAGGGCAATGCAATGTCAGAAAATGACGATATGCTGGAGATCACAACACGTTCTTCTGGTCCCGTACGAGCCATATATAGGCTTCCGAATGATGGGACGAGCAAATATGTTTGCCGGTCCGCCAACGTAAACAGAGCATTCATTTCATCTTCCAGTCACTTCATTATCCTGAAAAAAAAATAAATCTCTTTTTCTTATATCCATAACTTGTTGCTTTGTGGACTATACAACTGATTATCCTTTTCAGTAGTTCACAATGGCAAGGGCATCGTTACCAAAACGGATTTGGCTTACACTTGCATTCATATTTCAATATATCTTCATATTCGTATTCAAGGATATCCCTCAGTGTGTGTTGCAGAGGAAGAAAAAAGTTGAAAATCAGGTTAGTTAATGTAAGTTTAATGAAAACAATGCCGTCTTTGTAAGGTAATTGTAATAACTGGTGGGGCCATGGGTATCGGAAAAGAATCTGCAAAACTGTTCGCTCTGGATCATGGAGCGAAGGTGTGTATCCTGGATGTTAATGAGGTTTTCATTCTTCTCAATCATCCTGTACATTCTGTTCATTATTAGAAAGAAGGACTGAAAACAATTGATGAAATTACACAAGCAGGAGGAGAAGCTTACTTCTATCCTTGCGATATTTCCAACTATAAAAGCATCGAAGAAATTGCTGAGAAAATACACAATGATCCTCGATTAGGTGAGAAAACTTATAAGCTTATAGGGTAACTTCATTGTGCTCTAGGGTTTGTTGATATTCTCGTGGCAAATGCAGCAATACTGAAATTCGGGGAAATAATGGATCTGAGCATTGAAGATTACAAGAAAAGTAATGATGTTAACATCCTCGGACAGATCTATGTAAGAATCGATGACGTTACGTAGTTAAACAGTTCTGATATCAGACAATCAAAATATTCCTTCCAAAAATGATTGCTGCCAACAGGGGACATATTGCAACTGTTGGATCGATTTGTAGCTTTTATGGAGAATATTGCGGAACTGCTTATTGGTTCGTGAAACCATGATACCTTGATAAGCAACATAAATGATTTTCAGTACAGCAAAGTTTGCTATCAGAGGTTTCATGGAAGCTTTACATATGGAGCTTATGGAAAAAGAATTGAACAGCATAAAGATTACAAATATTCATCCATATTTTGTGCGAACAAATCTGATCGGTCACTTGGATGAGCCATACAGCACGTAAGTACGAAAATCCTGTTTCAGTCAAATTTTCTTCTTTTCAGGTATTTCGATGTTGTGCCGTTAGATAGATGTTCTAGAGAAGTTGTTGATGCAATTCTTAAAGAGAGAATCGTTCATTTCATTCCATCCGGAATAACATTTCTTTGTTTATTCCTTAAATGGTACTCTTAATGTTTTGATCTTATCCATTGCAATACTCATTTCAGTCTGGCAACGCGAAACACAATACCTCTGGGCAGGAAGCTGTTCAACTTCACTTATGAACCGAAAGGTAAACTGGCTTCTGTGAAGGCAGTTTAGCTTTGACACACTTGCAATCATTTCTTCTTTCATCTTATAGTCTTAATATATTTGTACATAACTATGTATTAAATAAAATTTAATATTAACGGTATTGTTTCTATACACACACTCTCTCTGCATGTATGCATTGGATGTCCTTCTCTGCTACCCTGCACCAACCATGATAGCGGGTTCTTAAGCATAAATTTGATTCGTTGATACTGGTCTGACTCATTCGCTGTAAGACTATAAGCAATGTTGTGTCAGGATTAGAGCACAGTAATGTCAATCTGAACATATCATTCACGGACAATCGTTGCGTCTACCTGCCAATCTTTACAATCTTTGTAAGTTATTGTTGTGAAAGCAATAAGATCAATGTTATAACACAGTTCAGGCTGACAACTAACACAAGAGAAATGATCAATTGGAATTTTTTTTTAAAGTACGTTGATAATGTTATTGTTTTTAATCATCTCAACAACATTCGTAATTATGTTTTCTATTTTGACATAGGTGATAGGGGATCTCCGTGATAGTATTTCGATGAAAGATGAAACTCGAGAGAGAAATGTTCGACATGCACTTACATAGACGAAAGACTCTAAATAGACTTCTGGACATTTACGTTGTGATAAAACAACCTGTTAACTTTATTTCTAATTTTGTTCCTTAATTCTCTAATCATTGACCTCTTCTCGACTTTTATTCTAAAATGACTCCATATGCATTTCATTGTGAGAGTCGCTTGTCGTTTTATTTGTTTTTCTCTCACAGTTGTGGTAGTCCTCTGTCTCATCATCATTCTTCTCTTGCTCTTTCGTCGTCGCATTCCCCGTTAAGACATCCCTTCATCTTCATATTTCTTGTCTGCTTACTTCCATTCGCGCTTCTATGCGCTAACAGAAAGACAGTGAACAAATCACTGTCCAACAATTGGGAGGAGGGAGGAAGCAGCTTTGCGACTCGATCAGTCAGTGACTGTGACTCTTGGTTCCCAAGCAATCCCTTATAATATCTTTGGTCAACGTTTTGAGTGTGAAATTCTGAAATTGCTACCCTATTGAATGCATCAATTTTCTTTTGCTTATCACTCATCATATGTTAGAAATTGGCGCGTGCTCGGAGCAATATGGGTTCTATTCGCCCTTAGTGCAAGTAAACCTCCCTAGTCCATACTGTTATTGATACCATTCTTTTCAGCTATACTACAAATTCTTGTATTCATCCATCCGGCTTGGATTGGAAATGAAGAAGGAGGCTACTTTGGATTGTATGACTATTGCAGTACTTCAGAATGCACTTGGAACATATTGAGGTATTATACTATACAGTACTAAAGCATTGATATCCTGTTATCAGAGTTCGACCACTGAGTTTCTCGTTCGAAATCGCTGCATTCTTGGTTCTCGCAGCGACAGTGCTCACAATTCTTGCTGTGTTTTCGATTTTGGTGAGTGTAGTTTAAGATATCAGTTACGAATATTACTGAGTTGCAGCTTTTAATTTTGCTGAGAGATAGATATGTTTTTCTCTTATGTTCTTGGATGCATATGTTCAGCTGTAAGTTCAAGCTTATTCACTTCTCTCAACCGATGTTTCAGTTATCGCTATGCTAACAGCGTGCAGTCTATTTCCAAACGGGTGGGAGAATCCACGCGTCCGCGAAGTTTGCGATTCGAAGAAGTTCGTTTTGTTTTACAAACAGCAATGAACTCGTGCAATTTCAGATACAATATAGGAATGTGCCATCTCAGATGGCCATACTTACTAGCTCTTGTCTTGGTTGTTGATCAGCTTTGTTTATCACTTCTGGGATTCGTGTTAGCATGTCGTCAACCACCTAATATACCAGAGGTTCATCCATTTGCAAGTGAGCTTGATTCTTCAATATATCACTTTTCACGATGAGTGTTTGAAAAAAAATCGTTTCTTTTCTTGTATTTCCTGAGTTGTGTGGCACTTGTAGTGCTAATTCGATTTTTGCTACAATGAGAGAATGTTATTATTAAAGTGAGACAGAGAGGTGTAAATAGGACACACGATTTGGAAGCTAGATGAATCTCAACAGCTTTGTCAACAACTGGAAAGAACACTGAGGCTAAAGAGAATGGCTAGCCGCTGACCATGACGGTTAAGTTGTTCTGCCAGATTATCACTGAACTGTTTACCATCAGACCTGTGTTTTACTGACTTCAGTTGAGGCTTACTTCACACATATTCTTTTGAGATATACGAAAATAGAAGCTATCTTTTTCTAGAAGATTAGCAATCGATTCAATTATGTAAATTCATTTATTAGTTATATCAATAACAGAATGAAAATCTTCCGAACTCTGTTTGACTAATAGCTTTCTCAGACGTATTCGGTCATTTCAAATTTCGGTGATGACGCATAGTATCCCTTATTTGGCTATTTATTAATTATGGAAGCTTTGACGTGATAGGTGTGTATGCACATGTTAATAATGTCTGTTTGCTATGAGTTTCGGTGTAAGGGTTACCCTAGCAAGAAGTTCAACATAACATGTATGCTCAGAGAAGGACACAGGGTCTTATCTTATCGAACTAAGTCTAGAAAAGAATATTCTCGTTCATTAAAATTATTTCAGTTGCAAATGATATGAAACCTGCGCAACGATCTCGGAAAATATCGAAACACGAACCGTGCTATGCAACGAATATGATGAAAGTTGAGCTTTAACAACCCCAAACCTTGGTAAATGATGACAAAATAAATATCTCGACTTAGTTCATTTCAGCGACAGTTGGGGAGCATATGATGATAACACTCGCGAACTATGTCCATTGGTTTTTGAAGATCATTTTCACAATTATTATTCGGAGGTCCCGCTATTTCGCTCTTTCAAATCCCATTTAACATTCGTTCGAAATATATTCGTTGCCAGTGGTAACTACAGACATTGAAACCTTAATCGTCTCCTGTATGAAATAAAGAAAAAGGTTCAAATGAACCATCCAGCACGCGAGAACAACTGCTCACCCGCTTCTAGAAGGATCGTGCAGTTTTAGGCCAATGGTTATTTGGAAAAAAATCATTCTATGACCTGCATATGCTAATTAGAGGACTCTTTGTCATTATTTTACCATATCAAAAGTAATAGTCATCAAAGAAGGAATGACATTTCGACATCAACAGCAACAGCAACCTAAGCGCATTCATAGCACGAAAGTTCTCGGTGAGAGACACAGACAGACACTGACAGAGTGAGGCGAACGAGGAGTGTCTCTGGAACATTCCAGACTGGGGGAGGGAGTATTACATAATCTCACTGCTTTTTACCCTTTTATAGCCACCTTCTTCCCATCACTTCATGACCACCTAGACAAGCTGCTTCATACTTCTTCTACTATGCTCTAATTTCTAAATTAGTTTTGGCTTTTTCATAAAATCAACTCAAGTTAACCACCCAATAACTCTCTTCCCCCATTAAGCAAATGGAATCGCTCCCAAAATCGAAAACAAATCTATGTAGCACAGTTTGAAATACGCTATATCACTCATTAGCAGATTCCACACCTTTCGCTAATCTGAAATCCTTACCCAATTCATGTGAGGCAGTGATTATTTAGACGATATTCGAGATCAAAAAAGTGAAAAAGAAAACGAACTTGTGAAACCTCAAACTTCTTCCAAAATTCATTTTCGAGGTTCTGAACAAGAAAATAGTAAAGTTTTTAAGCTCACAATAGCACCCTTTTCTTTCTCTCTATCTTGAGTCTTACCAATAATTTTCGCAGAAATTTGAAAACTTCAAACTTATTATCTTTGACGGAAGACTTTTATGCATTGACTCCTTATCTTACGTTCCAATTAATTTTCGTCATATGCTAGAACATTCGGTTTCTCGAAAGTACAGTATGTTGAATCATACAGGTCTTTCTGGACGTTCTAGAACAAAATAGAATCTTCGAAATCGCGCTCGAATTGAAAAATGGGCGGGGCTTGTGTGCGCGCTCTCTCTCTTCCTTCGCGAATTTTCTGCGGCAGAATTCTAAGCATGGTGGTGCAGACACAGTCAGCTCATTCCGTCATTCGCACTGCTCTACAATCTTATATAGTAATTCTCACTTTATCTTGTTATCTTATCTCTATGAGTAATTATCATCTTTAATTACTCACTGGGAAGTTCTTGTGTTAGGTGTTCATCCTTGTTGCTCTTTGGGCCTCTCCCTCTCCTTGTTGTCGTCAAGTTTTTGGGACTTCGTACATTTTTCGTTTCAGTAGTGCCTCAAAATGGCTAAGGCTAACGCTATCGGTATTGATTTGGGAACTACCTACTCCTGCGTAGGAGTTTTCATGCATGGAAAGGTCGAAATTATAGCCAACGACCAAGGTTAGTTTTAATCTAAGTGATAGGCCACTGATGAAACTTTTGCAGGAAACAGAACTACTCCTTCTTATGTTGCCTTCACCGACACCGAAAGACTGATCGGAGATGCTGCCAAGAATCAAGTTGCCATGAATCCCCATAACACCGTTTTCGGTTTGACACAAATTTTTCGTTCCTTCTTAATCTTTCCGTTTTTCCAGATGCCAAACGTCTTATTGGACGTAAGTTCGATGACTCTGCCGTTCAATCCGACATGAAGCACTGGCCCTTCAAGGTTGTCTCTGCTGAAGGAGCTAAGCCAAAGGTCCAAGTTGAGTACAAGGGAGAGAACAAGACTTTCACTCCTGAAGAGATCTCATCCATGGTCCTCACCAAGATGAAGGACACCGCTGAGGCTTTCCTCGGATCCGTCGTTAAGGTTCGTTAAAATCGATTTTGAATAGATAATAAGTAATCATTTTAGGACGCTGTCATCACTGTTCCAGCTTACTTCAACGACTCTCAACGTCAGGCTACCAAGGACGCCGGAGCTATTGCTGGTCTCAATGTTTTGAGAATCATCAACGAGCCTACCGCTGCCGCCATTGCTTACGGTCTTGATAAGAAGGGACAAGGAGAGAGAAATGTCCTCATCTTCGATCTTGGAGGAGGAACTTTCGATGTCTCCATCCTTACCATTGAAGATGGAATCTTCGAAGTCAAGTCCACTGCTGGAGATACTCACTTGGGTTAGTTTGATTTGGATAATTGTTTAATATTTGTAATGTTCCAGGAGGAGAAGATTTCGATAACAGAATGGTCAACCACTTCGTTGCTGAGTTCAAGCGCAAGCACAAGAAGGATCTTGCTTCTAACCCACGTGCTCTTCGCCGTCTTCGTACTGCTTGCGAACGTGCAAAGCGTACTCTCTCTTCATCATCTCAGGCTTCTATTGAAATCGATTCTCTCTTCGAAGGAATTGACTTCTACACTAACATCACCCGTGCTCGTTTCGAAGAGCTCTGCGCTGATCTCTTCCGTTCCACCATGGACCCCGTAGAGAAGGCTCTCCGTGATGCCAAGATGGACAAATCTGCTGTTCACGATATCGTTCTCGTTGGAGGATCCACTCGTATTCCAAAGGTCCAAAAGCTTCTCTCTGATCTTTTCTCCGGAAAGGAATTGAACAAGTCTATCAACCCCGATGAGGCCGTCGCCTACGGAGCTGCCGTCCAAGCTGCTATCCTCTCAGGAGACAAGTCTGATGCCGTTCAAGATTTACTTCTTCTTGACGTTGCCCCACTTTCTCTCGGTATTGAGACCGCTGGAGGTGTTATGACTGCTCTTATCAAGAGAAACACCACTATCCCAACCAAGACTTCTCAAACTTTCACCACTTACTCTGATAACCAACCTGGAGTACTCATCCAAGTCTACGAAGGAGAACGTGCCATGACCAAGGATAACAACTTACTTGGAAAGTTCGAGCTCTCTGGAATCCCACCAGCACCAAGAGGAGTTCCTCAAATCGAGGTTAGTTTTCATGCACTAATGATTAGTTAATTTTCTGTTCAGGTTACTTTCGATATTGATGCCAACGGTATCCTTAACGTATCCGCTCAAGATAAGTCTACTGGTAAACAAAACAAGATCACCATCACCAACGATAAGGGACGTCTCTCCAAGGAAGAAATCGAGAGAATGGTCAACGAAGCCGAGAAGTACAAGGCTGATGATGAAGCTCAAAAGGACCGTATCGGAGCTAAGAACTCCCTTGAAAGCTATGCTTTCAACATGAAGCAAACTCTTGAAGACGAAAAGGTATGGTATTTAGTCATGTTATGTTTTAATAATTTTCTCAATTTAGCTCAAGGACAAGATCTCAGAGGATGACCGCAAGAAGATTGAAGAGAAATGCGACGAGGTTATCAGGTGGCTCGACAGCAACCAGACTGCCGAGAAGGATGAGTTCGAACATCAACAAAAGGAACTCGAATCAGTTTGCAACCCAATCATCACCAAACTCTACCAAGGAGCCGGAGGAGCCCCAGGAGGTATGCCAGGCGGTATGCCAGGAGCTGGAGCCGGAGCTTCTTCTGGAGGAGGACCAACCATTGAAGAAGTCGACTAATTTTTTTTTCGATCTCGAATTTTTTTTCTTTATTTATCTTGTTACGCCAATGAATATCCAAGTCACAGTTGTTTTCAATTGTTTTTGTTTTGGGGATGGGTTGGTTCAAGAAGTTTACGAATACTGCACTGTAATAGCGTCGAGGGGAGGTAAAAGCTGATTATAATAGATAATTTAATGAAGTTTGGAATTTAAACTGGGATTTCCAGTATAGATCGCTGTATGAATTGTTGGTTCGTAGAAATTTATTTCGTAAATGAGGAATGTTTCGTTATGACCTGAGATGATTATACAGTGTTGTAAAAATTTTCTTCATTGTTAGCCCTTCGTATTCGTTCTGCTGTGCCGGGGCAAGAGACTTCTTGAGAGATCGTCGGAACTCTGGGACGGTATCGATGGAAGGATCGTGTTTTTGGCTGCAACATTAGGGTTTATGAAAACGAATTGGATTCCTACTTTTCGACTCCTTTTCCTACTTCGATCACAAAGAAAACACATCAGAGGGAGAAGTATACTCAATAAGGCGATGATAGCAACAACAATTACAGCGATTTCGTCGTTATTCAATGACATCGTTTCAAACCTAAAATAAATTATTAAAGACTTCGAGGTAGAAGAAGAATGAAATGAGGAGCAACATGATGGTTCAACTGAGATGAATGGCAATGACGGATTGAGAACAACGACGACACTCAGTCAATACTATGGAAAGCATACATTGATAGTTAAGAAGATAGATAAATTCGTTGATGTCAATTTAATAGAAGCTGTACGTGCATGTCATTACATTTGTTCAAGGAATTTAAAAACATTTTGATCAGGTTGGTCTAACTAGAAGCATTTCCAGTTCGAAACTCTCTTTGCCTTGTCTATGAAACTGTACTCATGTCACTCAAGATGTGTTCGAGAAAATATTTTACTGATTTTACACTTTTAGGACATTCTCTAAATAGAAATGTCAACAGGTACGTTTAGAAGCTTTTGGGATGATTAGCTGAGTTGTAAACTGCTTGTTGTGTTTGTTTACGTTTTTTGTGCACGTTTTTCGGTATAAATATAAGTAAGAATAAGATAGATTTTCTTTATTAATTAAAATATAACCTAGGCTAACTTCAACACTAAGGTTCGCCTTTAATTTTGCTTTGTTTGTCGAGATCAAGTGGGACTAATCTTCGGTAGAATCCAAGTACCAGTATTGTTGCTAGTGTAACTGTACACAGTTGAGTGACCATTACATATTGGTAACCACTCCTCTCGAACAAAGCACTTAATAGGTGTTATCTCATAGAAATATATACACGACTCTTCTTACGTTGCAATGATTGGAGAAATGAATTGTGCCAAGCTTCCTCCTAAGGAATGTATTCCTTGCATGCCGCCCTAGTAAACTGTATTAAAGTTAATTAATTTCTTTCAAACCTGTTTTCGTGGTCCCAAAATCTCAGAAAATAGAGTTCCTGAGGGAGATGTTACAAATGGGAAAGCCAATCCATAGAACAAAATGTAAGCTACGATATAAATGACTTCGGGAACACGGACAGTGTGTAGACACCACTCGAAATGTGGCATACAACCTCCAATCTCAGCAGTTGAGTTACCTAGAAATAGTTTCAATGAAGCGACCACGACTCTTAACTACCTGGAATGAAATCCAGTGGGCCTGAATAGAATGGCCAAGGATAGTTTGTGATATGGAAAAGAAGGAAGAACGACAGACCAAAGATAATCTGCAATCTCTTCTCTCTATAACACACTCATTAAGAAACGCATTGATGAAAGTATTCACATTTTTCCTATTCTGGTATAACCTATAATGATATTAAATACAACAGAAACAATGCAGGAACAAGCTTGTATGATGGCATTGTATGTAACTGCTTGGCTATCATTCCATGAATACATTGCTACTGTCCAAGGAGTCGAAATACTGAAACAATCAGGACTATTGGAATCGGTAAATGATATTCTTCTTACACTTCAATGTTGGTAGCAATCATGTTGATAACCATCCATAAATAAATGCAAATGAGAGCCGGAATGACATCGAACTTCGGGATGAAAACTTTTTCTGAAACAACCACTACTTCAGATTTCTCCCACATCTCCGTACCGTCTTCATTTAGAGTAGACTTGTCAATAATTCCAGCATATTCCTCGATGAAAAATAGTTTCATCACTAATATGGAAAGAAACGAAAGAAGAACCATGAAGTAACCGGGTAATGTGTACATGTTTAGTTGGACAGAGAGAAACTGTACACCTTGTTCACCAAAGGGTGTGAAGCAAGCCTAGAGAAGTTTATCCTCCCATAAGTTCTATATTCATTACTAACTTGTACAGCAGGTCCAAGAGAGAGGCCAAGAACATAGCCTGCAGTTCCGAACGAGATAGCTTTTAGTCTGTCGCACGGCAGTGACGCCATTGACAAATAAGCGCGAAGAACAGATAAACAACCTGTAAGTTTAAGCGATAAATCAAACTTTTCAAATCAACTCGAGACCAGCTCCACAGCCTGTGACGAAACGAGCGATTATCATAATCCATAATCTACCTCCGGAGAAACTTGGTAGCAGAGCGTAAGCCAATTGTCCTAAAATGTTGAAGTCATAAGATCCTTCACTTGTTCACATGCCTATTGCAGCCAATACCATTCCGACACCCACAGGATTCGTAACCGCGAGAGCTTTTTGATTCCATAATCCGAAAAGAGGATTAGCCTGTAATCTTAGAGTTAGTGACCACCTCTGAACCCGTCAATGTCCGTAACAGACGGGGCATCTCTCTCATGAACGAAAATTGGAATATATGAACGTTTTATGCACTCGCAGAGTTGAATTATATGCACCATCAGTTGATTAGGTGCAGAGTTACGCAACGAAGTGTATTTATTTCGAATTCAAAAGTTATTTGGTAGAGAGACAGAGTTGAACCGGCACAAGTTCGAAAAATCAAAGCGTTACTTTGATCAGTGATTTGATATTGAGGTGGAGTTGAACAATTAGAGTGAGCATGTACACATCATGTTAAACAAACGCGCTTTATCCACAAAGACGAAATTTGAATAAAACCGTATGTCGCGTGTTGATCACAAGACATATTTGCTGGTCTTTTCAAATGTTTATCTGGTTCAATGGTAGCGACAGGGTGAGTCGAACATTTTTTCCCGGTAATAACGACTTGTTTGTCTTTTGAGGTTATGGGTTTTTGATTAAACATTATATACTCTTCTCAACATATATGCTCGCATTCAGCTATTGAGTAATCATCGCTCAAAACTTACTAAGGAGCATCCAAGACTGCAGGCTGCAACAATCCAGCCAAGCATTTCTATTGAAACTCTTGGTTCCAACTGAAAAAAAGTTATCAAAAGTTTTGTAGATGAACACTTACTGTGCTCAGATATGGCCACATCGACATGAAGTATAGGGAGATTTGTATTCCAACTATGAACTGCATACCGATAGAAATATAAATGGATTTCCATGGTGTCTTCTTGTCTGCCATCACTTGCCTGAAAATAAGTATTATTCTAAGACTCTTCATTAGAAAAAACTTACGATATCTGATTTTTGGCTGTCATTGGCTTACAGTCAGTCTGAGTATTCTCTGACATTTTGCAGGATTTTTGAAGATTCGAATGAGTGATGGCGACTGGGTGCAAACAGAAACGTGCGACCTAAAAGTATTGCAAAAAAATACTTTATATACGTTTATGGTAATACTATAATCACATGCTTATTCAGAATAGGAAAATGAGGAAGAGGTATCACATCGAAACGAACTCAATCGAATACGAAATGAATAATCAATAAGGGATTGAGCATGCAATCCTTACTTTAAAAGTGAATGCGTCTGATGGTTAGACAGACACCACGGATGGTCTTCCAGCGTTTATGGAAGACTTTTAAGTATATAAACATAAAAACATTAAATCATTGAACGGACTGGTTTTTCTGATTTACTCCCAAACCAAATATCATAAAAGTTAATAGGTTTTATGAGCAAATAGTTTTCATTATAATTAACAGTGTTTGAGTTTCAAAATAGTGAAGCTTAAGGCTTCGAAGAGAACCTCATTCATCTGTAATTGATTTGTTGATTTTCAGATCATTGAACAAGAGGATTGTTGTTCAATTGGCACTTTTCTGTCATAAGTCAAATGAAATAAGAGGAGGCAAGCAGTAGAGAGTTAAACAATAAAAACATGAGCTTACTTTCTTTTAATTCTCCTCCGAAAGTCAAGCTTCCACAGTTCATATGAAGACTGTTTCACCTCCAACTTGAATGGATTAGTTCCCCGTGTTGTTTTTCCATTTAGTACAAGCAACATCGTTGACTTATTCATAGTCAACAAAAAATTGAAAATTGCATCATTTTCACTCAAAACCTATGGTCTTAAACAAGTCAGATGATCTGAAAATTAGAAGTTTTTGAATTTTGAATATGCTCTTATGTTGTACCTCGAGTTCGCATTCAATACTTCTGGAAATATACAATTGAGTTGAGGTATTAGATGACGCGCAGTCCAAGCATGATAAACTGGCCCGGAAGAATATTCGTTCACGAGTTCACTACATACTCAACCGTTCCGGAATGAAAGAGGGGTTGCATTCAAACACAATTTACCTATTCAAGTAGCATCAGTGTATCAATACATTCATATAATATAACTGTGAAGTTTCTTATAGCTGTTACTTCAGTATAATAAGACATTTGTGTCATTAAAACATGTCTTCAAAGTTTCACAAAACTTTAAACTTTAAACTTTTTTCAACTTTAAAGAAAAAACAAAAAAATTAAAATAAATCTTAAGGATTTATATTATCAACGATAACGAAGAACTGTACTCATGAAAATCGATTATTATACTACTGATTCGATATGATTACGAACTGCCCGGATGTGATCTACCTGTTGTTCCCGCCAGAAAATCCCAAGATAGACATGTCGTAACTATAACTCGTTGAGTCGTTCGACTACCAATTACATCACCAGTGCGTTTGCTCTGGTAGTGTTAACTAACATTAGAATCGCAGATACTTCAAACTTAACAATGCGTATAGGTCTAGCCTTAATTGGCTTAATAGCAGGTATTTCCTTTTTCGGTTGCATGTTTAAACATTTGTCTTAGTATGCTACGCACAATATGATCAACCAGCTACTGCAGCTGACAGCTCTGACTTTTTCAACTGTCAAGGCCGTGAAGATGGAAACTACGGAACCGATTGCTCTGAACGTTATTACACTTGTGTTAATGGAGAAGTTACTGTTCGCCGGTGCCAAGATGGACTTTATTTCAACCAAGATGCTGACTACTGTGATTATCCTCCTCAACATTGCTTCGGAGAAGATTCTCTTAACACCGAAACAATTGCACATGATGATACTCAAGAAACTGAGCAGCCTGAAGACTCTGAAAGCTTAGTATATGGACAAGAGATCTTGGAAGATGGCATTGGTAAGTATTTTAATATTTAGTTATAAATATTCTGTGTTTCTTAGATTGTGCTGACAGAGCTGACGGTTTTTACTCAAATGGTTGCTCCGAAGTTTACACCGTTTGCTCCTTTGGATCATCAACCCAAACCAGATGTTATCCTGGATTAGTCTTCGATCAAATCAAGTCTAGATGTACGTATCCTCATGATTGTGGATTACCCGAACCAACAACTGTTGCTCCAATCGTTGAACATCAACAACCCGCTGTTCCTGCTTACCAAACACCAGAGACAACTGAAGCTTATGTTTCCGTTCCTGAAACCACTGCATTTTCTCCCATTGAAACAACTACCACTCAATCCGCTGAATATGGTAAGTATTTATAGTATCGATAATACGACGAAATTAATTATAGACTGTGCCGGTAAGGCCGATGGAACCTACAGCCTCGGATGTGTAGCTGAGTATTACCAATGCGTAGCTGGAAAATCGTACAAGTTCCAATGCCAATCTGGATTAGTTTATGATACTGCTAATCAAAGATGCGAATATAGCTGTGGATCATCTGAAACCACTACTTCCAATTACGAGACTTCTTCTCAGTTCTATACTACCCAACAACCAATCGGGCAAGAAGAGCCTGAAGTACCAACCAGTGCTCCTACTACCACAGTTCCCTCAGGTTGTGTTGATGGTGACACTTCCGCTTTTGCTCAGTGTTCTTCGAAGTTCAGAAGATGCAGGTTAGTTTTTAGTGAACTGCCGAGTTGAGCTCAATTATTCAGAAATGGAATATGGGCTGTTTCAAGATGTCCAGGAATGACTGTCTTCGATGAGACTATTGGTCTTTGCGTTTATGATTTACCTAGATGCAAAACCTCTTTGTTCACAAAGAAATCTGTGAGTACCGAAGAGATTTCACTTTTACATTATGTTTTCATAGAATACCGCCGTGTCTACATCCGCTTACGGAGTTGCATCAACTGCTACGAACACATACCAAGCTCCAGTAGCTTCAGCTCCAGTTGCTGCTCAAAGTGGATATGCTCCTCAAAATGGATATGCTCCAGTTGCTGTTCCTGCCCATCCACCATTCCCCCATTTCTTCCAACCAGCATACGTTTCTAATCCTTTCTATGCTTACCGTCGCGATAGAAGTGATAGATTCCGTGGACATCGTCACGGCAAAGATTTCAAGCACGGAAGAGGACGAAACGGTAAACATCAAGGTTAGAATATTTCTTGAAGCTTAAGTAACGAATATATTCAGAACAAAAAATCAACAAAGGAAAGATCAATTATAAAACGAGAAGCCCGTTTGTGCGTGGAGACAGAGCATACGTCAATGATCAATTCAAAGGACGTAGAAGCCCATTTACTCCACCTATCTTCCGCAAGGTTTTCCCAACCTACAATAGAGTGCGTTCAGCTTTTTCTTCCAAGGCTATTATTACTTTTTAGAAGTGGAGAACTACCACTGAAGCTCCTTCCACCACCACGGAAACTGCTGCTGTCCCTATCGAGTTGCTTAGTGAAACTGTTGGTGTTTCCGCCATCAATTCACAGTCGAGATTTGCTCCTTTATCCGATGCTTCTGAAACTGTTGAACCTGCTAGTGAAACCGTTGCTTCTGTAGCTCCGGTTGCTGAAGACGCAATTGAAGGATCTGGTGAAGAGTCGGAAATTCCTAGAAGAATGAAGAGAAGTTACGGAGTTATCGAGTCTGGTGCTGATTCAACCTCTGGCCTTTGCTCAGCTGTCGTTTCTGGATCTCTCGTCTCTCTTGGTAGCTGTCGTCAGGACTTCGTCTATTGTGAATCAACGATCAACGAAGTGGTAAGATTTCAATTGTAAAACGAAATTATTTAAATATTCCTAGGTTGCTGCTTGTCCAGTTGGAGAATTGTTCGATGAAGTTGCTAGGAAGTGTACTGTTGCTGATTACTGCGGCGAAAACACCGATTCCGTCCCATCCCTCCCAATTGATGAGGTCGATAATGTTGTTGCTGAATCCAATAGCGATGTTCTCGGAGAACCAGCTCAAACTCAAAATGAAGCTTCCGATGCTGTCGTCTCGTCTCAAGAGCCCCATCATCCAGTGTCTCAACCTGCTCAATCACAAAATGCTGCTAATTCAGAAGCTGTTACTTACGGCAAGTTTCAACGTTTCAAATGTGTTCTTATTTGTTTTTCCAGGACATGAACAGATTGTCACCGTCGCTCCATCCCGTGATGTTGAAGCCATAAGCGAAGAGGTTCAATTTGATGCCTGTGAAGGAAAAATTGACGGATACTTTGCTGTTGGATGCTCAACCAAGTATTTCATCTGTGATAACGGACGAACTATTGAAATGTCTTGCGCTAATGGACTTGTTTTCAATGAGAGAAGCATCGCCTGTGATTACAAGTTTAACGTACAGTCATGCGACGAATCTTCAGTTATACCAGGTTTTAAAAAATATCTTTATTCGCTTAAAAGTGTTTTAGCCGCCGAAGAACCAACTGCAAACGTCCAGCCAGTTCCATACAAACCTGCACCTGAAACTCCTATTGCTCAAGCTCCCAGTAGTATGATCTTTTTTATCAGTGAATACCATTATTTTGGCTTTCAGCTAAATGTGTCAGAGACGGTTTCTTCGCTGAAGCTCTTTGCTCCGGAAGTTACTTCTCATGCAAGAATGGTCTTTTAGCTCACAATTTCACCTGCGCTGAAGGAGATGTATTCTCTGAGCGATTTGCTAGCTGTGTCTCTAGATCAAAGGCCGGATGTTCTTCCAAGGCTATCCCTTATGTTCCTGCTGTTACTGTACCAACTGTCGCCGTAACTGAACCAGCTCAAGCTCAAGCTTCTACCGAGGAATATGTTAAGAGCACAGAAAACCCTGTCAGAGGATACGATGCCTATGCTACTGAAGCATCAACTATTGTTGAGACTACTGCCGCACCTGCTCAAGATTCTCTTTGCCCAGTTGGACCTTACTCCGATTCAAAATGTTCCACTACTTACAAAGTATGCGGGGCAGGATTAATTCATGGTAGTAGAACGTTTTCAAAAACTGAGAATCCATATTTTTTCAGAGCTCAACTGTCCTGCTGGATTAGTTTTCCACAATGATCGTTGTGAGTACCCAGAATTTGCTGGATGTGAAAATGTTGTAACTACTGAAACTCCAATTGTATCTGAAGATGTTACTGAAGCAATTGCCGTCACTTCAAGTTATCAAGTAGCTGAAGAATCTATCACTCCAACAACTGAAGGATATACTGCAACTGATGGATATACTGCAACTGAAGAATCCACCATCACTGAAGAATCCACCATCACTGAAGGATCTAGCACCACTACTGCCACTGTAGCTTCTGATAACCAGGTTAACCAACCTGAATGTCAATACGGTGAGACTCGATCTTTCGCGATCGGATCATGCTCTAACACCTACAAAACTTGCACTGAGGAAGGACAACTCATCAACTCAAACTGTGATTACGGACTTGTTTTCGAACAACAATCCGGAACATGTGTTAGCAGCTCTTTGTGCTCCCCTCAGGTAAATCAGCGTTGTTTAAAACGATATTGATAATTTCTTTAGATGAGCGAAAACGTACAAACGACTGAAGCTTCGCTTGAGCCATCCACCCTTGCTAACGTAGCAACTCCTTGCTCTGGAAAGAAAGACTATGAAACTATCTCCTATGGTGATTGCCGTGACTCCTTCATGCGTTGTATAAATGGAGCACCTGTAACCGAACATTGTGCCAAGAATCACGTTTACTCTTCTGCTCATGGTTATCACTCAAATTATAATGTTTGTAACAGATTATTTTCCAGGACGCTGTATCCGCCGTGAAAAAATTAGCGAATGCTCTGAAAGCCATATTGAGTACGTTGTACCTTCCGGAAACTTCTCGGACTTCTGTAATCGTCGTCGTGATGGATTGTACCGTAACCCCAAAGTCTGCTCCGGAATTCTTCAATGCTTCGGTGGTGAACTATATGCCCGACCATCTTGCCCTGGTGGACTTGTTTTCAACGAGAAAAATGATCAATGCGATTATCGTCACAATGTTCCAGGATGTGAAGATGTTTCTGCCGATCCAAGCCGTAAGTATCAACTATTAATATTTAAATGACTGTCCACTTATTTAGTTGAAGGAGGATGCCGTGGACAGAAGCATGGAGCTTATTTGGCTGATAATGCTGATTGCACTATCTTCTACAGATGTGTATGGGACCGACTTGAAAAAATGGCATGCCCAAGCGGAACAGTCTTCAATCCAGTATTCTCTGTTTGTGACTGGCCTGCTAACGTTCCTAACTGTGCCAATGGATCTGTCATCAGCTCTACTCCATCTGCCGACGAAGCAGTTGAAACAACTTCCGTAGATTCTAACAGTTCTTCCGAACAGCCAATCAGACCTTACTGAAAAATCTAATTTTTACTTTTAGCCTGTAATTTACTAGAAATGTCTTACCTTCTTATCTGTGATATTGACAATTTTCATACCAATTCCTAATGTTATCCGAGCGTTTTATTTTTACTTAACTTTTTATAATAAGTAAGCTTTTTTTAATAAATTTTTTATTGTATATGATTCTTTTGAATTGAAAACAGTGAATCCAGCCATCAGGCTTAACTATATTTACAATTCAGGTTCAACGTGGCACAAATGAAATCTAGTTGGTCAGTAACGTGCGCGGAACAATAGGAACTGTGCTAAGCCCTATCGTTATGCTCCACCCTCTGTCAACGCTATATAATCGAACTCGTTTGTCTTCCACCGGTAACAACATGCAGATATATCTGTTAGCAGGTGATATCCTCTTCGAATTTCTTCTAAAGCTTTCAGTTTTCAGTCTTGTTTCTGGTAGATTTATCTACAGCTCAATGGGGCTATGGTATGATATCACTCACTATTGCTATTCTGCACTAGTTCTTGTTTTGCACATCGTTGCCTTGCACTGCACTGCACTTGTAGATTGTCCTTATCGCATGATCAATCGCTTTGGTTTAGGATACTCAGGATATGGAATGGGACTGAATATGGATCCATATAGTCTCGGAATGAACCCATATATGAATGGGTAATTTTCAAAACTCTCAACGTTTCATATTCAACATGTTAAGTATGAATCCTATGATGATGGGAGGAGGTATGTGCATGGATATGAGCGCCCAATGTCCGGTTTGGGCTAGCACAGGTAGAGCTTCGTCATGTTTTAACATTTTAGCCAATTTATCTTGGGATTGAGGCCAAGAGAAAAAAATGAATTTCAAAAGATTTTAATCCTTTCCATTCCCTATAGGTCAATGTGCAACTAATCCGATGTATATGCAAAGAACGTGTGGTCGTTCTTGCGGAACTTGCTTAGGTATGGGAATGGGTTTGGGAATGGGCTATGGTGAGATTTATCATATTATATTCATCACACAAACTACTTCAGGCCTCGGTGGATTAGGTGGATATGGTCTTGGAATGGGAGGCATCAATCCCTACGGATTAGGTAGAAGCATATATGAGACTGGTAACCAATTTGTGAGAAAGAATTCATGTTTGAGTCTTTATAGGAATTCTCCGATCTCAACCAAAGCCAGCAATTTTGGCAAACGAAGATGTCAAACAAATCAAATTTAATAATGAAGCTTTAACTATTCCTAGACAAAAACTGCTCTAGAGGATCATCAATTACATATTCGATCTCTTAATCAAAAATACTTTTTAACCTCTGTTTTGAATACAAACAATTTTGAAGTTTACTTGTTAATAATAAACGTTGAACACATGCTCTACATTTTCTGTTATCTATCAGAATGATGAAGGGATCCTTATCTTGACTTTTTCGATACAAGGTTGAAGTTTTCACTCGCTAATGGCTATTCATAATATCTGGCTAGGTCCGGTATTCATTGCAGCTTACAGCTTGTTCGCTCTCCTTATATGGTACTAATTATTTGAAAACATTTGTATACTTGAAGTTACAGCATCTCCATATCTGCTTATTACCATTACCTTCCTCCTAGATGGCCGTATCTTAGGTATTCGATTTTTAAAAACCTAGAGATAACTAGATTTGTGGCTGTTAATTTGCTTGGGAAGAAGGGTTTTAGGGATTGAAAATATTTACAACCGTTTTCGAAGTTGTGCATGGTGTAAATGAATGTATCACGCGCAACTTGCGTCTGATTTAAATCGTTGGTGTGGTAAGCGGCGTATTTTAATTCCATAAAACGCATCACAGTTAATAATATAAAACAATATATTTGGGAAGCGCAAATTATTAATTCGAAACAGAAAGACTGGACGTTATCAACTGCAAACAGCTGAAACGCGGAAAAAGTGGAGATCAGCAAAAAAAATGTCTAACTAAATATTTTCCTGAGCATTTTTTCTAGTGAGATTGCAACACAACCGCCAGCCAGCAATGTTTACAGTTTGATGACAAATCATATTGCTGTTATGGGTTTGAATCCAGGAAAAATATGTTTATCTTATTCTTCTTTCATTTCAGTTGTTTTCTGGATCTATATCAAACACCGTGAGATTGTTTCTTATTTCTCAAATGAGGATCAAGGTGGATTCAAACGTGCCATCTCTTTCGGAACAATGTGTGTTGGCTTAGTGGGTGCCCTGGCACTTGAAATGAGTGTTAACTTTCCTGTTAGTTTTTCTTGATTTTTAATTAAACGATGATTGAAAGTTTAGAAGGAGAAGGTTCCTTTCATTCAAACATCAGCAAGTTTATGCGTTCTAGTATGTACCGTTGTATACATCTGGATGCACTCATTTATATCTTTTTTAATAAAAGATGATAATATAAAACGCATCCCTCTTTTCGTTGTCCGCCTATCTTTGGCCGCAGCTTTAACGTCTTGCACGATCTCAAGTATGCCGTCTTTACTATTAATTTCTCATAATATTTCTAGTGTTGGAAGTTTTCGAGAAGAAAGGGGATAATTTCGTCAGAACGACGGCAAAGCCAATGGTTTCGGTATCTCGGTTATAAGGCTCGATAACATCTTTTTTCAGGATTTGTCCAGCACTGGAGCAGTTTTAGAATGGGCTGTATATTTCTCTATGGCCTTATTCTTGTTAACAGATGCTTATGAGTTCCGTAATCTGATAGTCAAACCTTTGAAACTTGTTATTCCTGGCTCACCCCTATACAACACTCCCGACAACCTTCCCGCCCTCCGTACAAGGGAACTCTCTTTTGCTGATCTCCCGTCATCTTCTATGACTGAACCGTTAGTCCGATAAATCTTTTTATTTCCTCAAATTTCTCACGAATGTAAAACTAAGAAGACCGATCTCATCAATCATTAATTTAAATTTTTTTGAGGAATTCATATGGGTACAACGAGTGACTAATGCATGTTATCATAAATGCCTGTGTGGTGATCAATGTGATCATACTCTTTCCAAAAGAATGGCAATTCCTTGTCCTCCACCAATGCAGGCTGATCCGATTCCATATCGTAAATTTCTTCTTCTCAATTCATGAGTAATGTGGGTGATGATTCTGGCACCTGAAGCGGCAAGTGGGTGCCCAAGAGCAATAGCACCTAGAAAAAAAAGAATATTCTGATTAGCTTGACTCTCCTACCTCCATGAACATTGAACTTATCGCAATCAATCTGGAGCTCTTTTTGAACGGCCAGAGCTTGAGCAGCAAAAGCCTCATTAACCTAAAAAAACATGTTTTAAACAAAAATTCTGAATATGCTAGTGCAGTCACAATCAAACCCTTAGAAGGTGATATTGCTCAAGTATCTCAATACATACCTCGATAATGTCTACATCTTCCAATTTGACTCCTGTTTTTTTGCACAGACCTCGTATGGCTTCAACTGGGCCAATACCCATAATGGAAGGATCGCATCCAACCACATGCCACCCGACTATTCTGGCCTGAACAGATGATCAGGCTAGCTAATAATACAAACGTACGAGTGGAACTGCTTTAAGATCATTCACTGAAGCCTCGTCTGCCAATATTACAGCGGCGGCTCCATCCGAAATTCCCTGAGAAGCAAAATGAGCTACGAAAAAACTGGAACTTTACCGAAGCATTTCCGGCTGTCACCAATCCATCTTTTTGGAACACTGGTTTAAGCGCGGCGAGACTTTCGGCGGTAGTTTCTCTGGGGTGCTCATCTCTATCGAAAGAGACTTTTCCTTTACGAGTATTCAGCTAAAACAAATCAGTGCTCTAATTTTCAGAAAGTGCCCTCACCTCTATTGGGGCTATTTCGGCAGTAAAGTAACCGGCATTGGCGGCTGAAAAAATCCAAAGTCTTTTTATTCACATTCAGCTCTCACCTAATCGCCATCTTGTTTGACTTCTTAGAGCGAATTCATCAACTTCAGCTCTTGTTAGTTTGTACATTTCTCCCAATTTCTCAGCTGTCATGGCCATGGGAGTCTTTATATGTGCATCAGTGAGCCCTTGCCAAAGAGAATCTTCGAACTTTAAAACACAACACTTGATTCAAGAAAAACAACATGAATACCTCATATTTGGATCCTAGGGTAGTGCCGAAGCGTGCATTACGTACAACAAAAGGAGCCTGACTCATAGATTCTGTTCCTCCTGCGAGTACAACTTTGGAATCACCAGCAAGAATTTGCTAAAAAAAAGTTCTTAATAGAGCTTAAAAAATTATACAACTTACGTAAGCACCATCAATAATACTTTGGAAGCCTGACCCACACAATCTATTTATGGTAACTGCAGGGGTTGCGATAGGTATTTCAACCCTGAGACCTACATGTCGAGATAAATATGCAGCATCAGCAGATGATTGTATAACATTTCCTTAAATATAGCAATGTTACCTTTCTGACTTTTACAACAAACCGAAAACGATATGGTCTACTTTACTTCGACTTATTGCTGCCATTTGTAGAGCAGCTTTACTAGCTTGCTCTGCTAAATCTGTGGCTGACAATTTTGCTAGACTCCCTCCGAACGTGCCAAAAGCTGTTCGCTTGGCTCCCACAATGAATATATTACCTTGAAGCACGTAATAAAAAGTGATTATAGCAAAGCCTTACTTTTGGTTGCCATTTTGTGAGAAAACTGAAGCTGATCAATTGAATGTTAGACCGAGCCTAGAAAACAATAAAATAATTAAAAAACAAAAAAGAAGATAAAAAGGACAACAACGGAATATAAGTGGGAACAATAAAATCACCAAAAATAAAAATCGACTCTGCACGTTTTTTACAAGGCTCTATGGGCGCGTTGCATAGTTTTCAAATCATCACTTGCTTAACGTGAGTTTCTTCATCATTCTTCATGAAAGACCTCGCTTTTATTATGTTAATTTCATATCTTTTTCCATAGTTTTACTCGTTTTATTTAAGATGACTGAAGCAAAAAGTAAATCCTCTGCCAATGAGGCTAACACATACGATAAAGAAGTAAGTGTATCGATAGGCTTTCTGTTAGTTCTCAATTCATTCTTAAGGTTATCTCTAAACACCCTGATCTTGAGTTGGCTCAGCTTCGTTTCCTCGTAAATCATCCAGAAATTGATGCTGCGAAGAAGGCTACATCTTTGAATCAAATACAGGCTGTAAGTTTCATTTTTTGTTTCAAAGTTCATAACTCTTTTTCAGGCCATCAAAGAGAATGACATGGCTCCTTTCTATGAGCTTCTCTGCAGTGACATCGGTACAGTCCCAGATGCTACTGAACTTAAAAATATGAAAGAGGCCAATGAAAAGAGAGTAAAAGAAATTGAAGCTGAGATCGAAGACGCAGAAACTAATCTTGGAGGCTCAGAAGTTCGCCAAGCTTGGCTTCGTAAATTTGAATATTTCTGTCAAATTGGAGATAAAGATAACGCTTGCAAATCTTTTGATGTAAGTTATTTAATATAAAAATCCTTTAATTGATAATTTTAAGTCCACATACGCTAAAACTGTCGGAATGGGTTACAAGATCGATCTCGTGTTCGCTATGGTACGAGTTGGATTCTTCTTCCTGGATCATGCTCTCATCAATCAGTACATAACCAAAGCTAAAGAATTGATGGAACAGGTATTCTAATTATTCACGAACTGTTCATAACCAACTTTGTAGGGTGGAGATTGGGAGAGAAAAAATAAGCTTCGTTCATACGAAGCTTTGTACAAATTGTCAGTTCGCGACTTCTCCGGAGCTGCAAACTTGTTTTTGGAGACTGTTCCCACTTTCGGCTCTTACGAACTCATGACTTATGAGAATCTCGTCTTCTACACAGTTGTTACTGCTCTATTCGCTCTAGATCGTCCTGATCTTCGTACCAAGGTCATAAAGTGCAATGAAGTTCAGGAACAACTGAATGGAGGTGGTACAAATGGCTCTTTGATATCCGTACGCGAATATCTCGATGCCTTCTATGGTTGCCACTATGAAAAATTTTTCATACATTTGGCCGCACTTGAAGCCGAACGCTTCAAATTCGATCGTTACCTCTCACAACACTATCATTTCTATTCCCGTAGCATGCGTCTAAGAGCTTACGAGCAGTTCTTAACACCTTATAAAACTGTTCGTATGGATATGATGGCTAAAGATTTCGGTGTTTCTAAGAATTTTGTCGATAAAGAATTACACAGACTGATCGCTGCCGGACAACTACATTGCCGGTAAGCCCTCCCTGATATAATATGAAATTTAATTGTAATTTTAGTATCGATGCCGTCAATGGAGTTATCGAGATGAACCATCCCGATTCGAAGAATCACCTGTACAAAACTGTCATTAAGTGAGTTTTTTTAAACTTTACATGAACACCACTTTTATTTGAAGGGATGGTGACATTCTGCTCAACAGAATTCAGAAGCTGGCCCGTGTTATCAATGCATAGTCGGATCTCATTCTAGTGTAATGACTTTTTGTCACCCATTCACCTTATTTATAAATTAATGGTAACTTATGTTTTTTTGTAAATTTTGACCGGTACGGCTGACTGTGATGGACGGTCCGATTAAATAAAATGAAATCTTCGAATGTTATATTATTATATACACTCAAGTGGTTTCTTCCGCAATTATCTTTATTTGTTCGTTTGTTTGTTATTTGGGCTATCACCTCAAATAGGTTTTTGCCAAAGTGCGCAATAGTATCCTTTCGTGCCATTCACAAACTTGGCGTGCGTTTTTGTTCCTGGGGCACAGTAAGTTGTTCTTAAACTGCTCTTGAACAATTTTATCAGAAGTGGAGCCTATCAATGATATTATGAAAAGTTGAATTATTTCAAAATTCGCGCCGAAACGCTTACATGCCTGATCTATCACGTTATCGTAATATACGGTAGTTCGTGGAATTCCTTGTAGCACGTTCGGAGTAATGTCTAACCATTTCTGCTCAATTAGTCCTGCTCTTACTGCCTGCTCTTTAACTGCTTCGATCTTTGACCTTTTGTGTGGATGTAAACGACGGTTTGCTTACCTGCTCTTTGTAACGTAAATCTGCCCAGCAGATGTATCCCCCACTTTTCAAAATTCGCATGCTTTCCGAAAAAAAATTTTGGCAATTCTTATACAGATGAGATGACTCTATGTTCAGCACTGAAGTACTTGTAAAGTAGTTTTATAAAAGTTTCTCTAGTACCCAAGTCCATGGAGGAATCGGCGATAGGAATCTTGTCTGCAGAGCCTTTATATATTAACGGGTGGTTTTGAGGTATTGGGTCGAGTCCTTCGATTTTTTTAATTCCTGGATGGGCTCTGCATGATTGTTCTTTAAATCAAAACTTTTCTGAATATGTTGCAAACCTTTTAATCCATTCTATGCCTTCACCTTGACCACATCCAACTTCGAATATAGAATGACCAGAGAAAAGTGGATAGGCATGGTGTAGACTTAAAGCCTTTTCGTAAAGATAATAATGAGGAAGTTTGGGATCTATGATGCGAACACTTATGTATCATCTTTGCCACTGACTAACCTTTTTCACCTTCTAAGATACTCTCGACTGTTTTGATGATTCTGTTATCATTGAATGTAGTAGTAGGCCAATAACCAAGATTCAGAAAGTGCGTACCAACCTTTCTAGAGAAATGCTTGAGCAGAGGGTATAATATTAATCGATCGAAAATATAGATCCAGAATCGTAAAAAATAGTCTAACATCTTGGAGATTATCATTTTCCGTATTTGTGAGTTTCTAGGGTTGACCATGCCAACAATAATTACCCGTGTTTATTTTTATTAGTATACTCTTCTTCGATTAATTTTATTTGTAATGGAAGGTAATTATGATTTTTAGTTTTAGTTATTGGAAATGTCTGGAAGGCAAGGAGGAAAGCAAAAACCCTTGAAGGCTCCCAAGAAGCAAGAAAAGGATTTATGCGATGTAAGTGGTGTTAGTTCAATCTACCTATAGCTGATATTCTCAGGAAGATATCGAGTTCAAAAAGAAGCAACAAGAGGAAGCTAAGAAAATGAAAGAAGCCGCCGCTAAGGCCATGCAGAAAGGACCTATGGGTATCGTTTTCGTTTGTATTGTTTAAGTTTAAAGTTTATGTTCAGGAGGTACTGGAATCAAAAAGTCTGGAAAGAAGTAAACCAGCCATTGTTATCTGTTGATTGTTTGTGCCCGTGGTAAATAAATCGTTCTGTTCGATTGTTTCATTTCCGATATCGCAAGAAAGAACAAGAAGAAACAATTCGAATATAGTTCAATGAAGAGATGTTCTAACAAAACTAGTGTTTGTAGAACTTTTTGAGTGACTTCAACATAGACGTTAACGCTGCTTCTATTTTATCTTGTAGAACCTCCAAACTATCTTCTCCGTCTTTGTTGTTCTTACACCCAGCCTGAAAAATTTTAATTCTCTTATAAGAGGGTTTTTAATTCTGGATATGAGCAATGATTATCTTTTCATTTCTGCTTTTTAGGGAATTTTTGTGTTAATACTGTGTCTCGAAACGGTTCGAATTCCGTATCACCAGGTGGGAAAAGAAACAGAAAACATTACCTCCGCTATAGGTTGAATGATAAGCAGAAGTACAATGAGTGATTGCGGAAGTAGCCGTTCATAACTTTCTTTCAACTATAAATTGACAACGTACTAAGCAAGATACTTAATGCTCCTACTTGCTCTAGAGTGTACGGTGCTTTCTGGGTTCCTAACTCTTCCATAAAATATGTATAGAATTCCTCGAGTAGTGATTCCCAACAGTTCATGAAATCTTGTCCACTTAAACTCGAACAGAATATTCTTATAAAATCCTCTGCGGCACAACCGAAATGAGCCACCTGATATCGATATTAGAACAATCAAGAATTAAAGATAAGCTCATACTTGATAATCGATCAGTTTGAGAAATTCGATGCCATTTTCTGTTTTTTTCCACATTACGTTAGATGCCCAGAGGTCACCATGTACAAACACTGGGTCCATGCCTGAACTTAGCAGTTCCCAATTTTTGTTTCATAAATTATTACCTAGTTCATCTGTGATTGTGACAAGTTTAGAAAGATCTGTCAGTTCGTCAGCGTACTGTTTGATCTCTTGGATGACATGACGGTATTCTTCACGAACAAGAGAAGAAAATGATTGGAATATCTCGTCAAGTTTCTACCAAAAAAATTATAATTGAAAGCACTCATATCTTTCCCGTTACTTCTTTACGTAAAGCGCTTGAATACATCCGGGGTACAATGTTTGGCATGTGTTTGCGTTCCACAGGAGTAGTTCGAAGTGATATTACCTGTAGTTTTGCTACTGTGCGGAGAACCTTAAATAAAAAAAATCACAATGCTTTCGGACAATAAAATACCTCCGATAGGTCTGATGGTTCGATTTTATGATAACAGTGACGAGGGTAGACATTCTCTACAAAATCAAAAGAAAGGAAACCTGGAGCAGAATGTATGTAGGCTTAAATTTTCATCTTACCTTTGAGTGGATTTTCCTCGGAGAACTTTCTTTGGAAGTATGGAGTTAGAATAGATAGTGACTCAGTTGGTTTAATATACTTTTTAAACAAATCGTAAGCGTAAACTTCCGTATTGTGTAACTAGAGGTCATGAAATTAGAAACAGAAAGTTTCATTAAGAAACTCACATGCTTGGTCAAATCAGCAAAGTGTTGGTAATCCGTTTTTATTTTTTCCTCACTCTCTATAGCACCAGATCTTTCTCTAATTGTATCTGCCAACCTCACAATGTTTACGCAAGTGCATAACTTGAGAACAAATCTTTACAAGAAGTTATTCTAGTCTGTCTCTTATAATCTTACTTGGTAGGTAACTTTTCCGTATCATCAGTTTGCCAATCAGGACTTACAATAGCTACGTTAGAGAGAAATCCCTTGAATTAACTCACGAACTTACAAATAGATAGAAATAACTCACATTGCCTTCACCTATCTTTGTCAAAGACTTGTTTGGTCCTAGAATTGCATGTTCACCAAATGCTTCCTGAATCGCTTCTTGAACATCAGTCCATGTAACGTGAGTTTCCAAAAGGCCAGCTGCCGGTGTGTAGAGGTTACCTGCCATCCTGGTTCTAAATTAACAATGAATAGTTTCTTATTACATGATAAAAATGAATAAGCTGAGTACAAACTATAGAGTTGTCTACAGGCCGATGTTTTCCCATTTTGATAAAACAAATATTCTCTGATAAGAGAGGACGTTGTGGTATGGTGATTATCTTAAGTGTTTCCATGGCTAATGTAAAAAGTTTTATTTCGTGCGTGTTACATTCATTATAGGATACAGAGAAAGCATCGTACAGATATGAAAAGACAAAAATATATGATCATATTAGCTTTGAGCATTATAAGAATATCAATGGTTCAAAAAAAATTATTACTGCATCCGAATGAATACTTTACGAGGAATATCACCTTCCTCCGCTTTTCGACAGAAGCTACCACGGGTGAGATTCTCAGCGACATTTACAACATCATCCAAATCTCTCTTCTCAGATTCAGAATAGTAACATACACGGCACAAAGCCTTATATGTATCTTCTCCTCCGATAACTTCCACCTTGAGATAATTTTTGGTATTATGAAATATTAAATGAAAAAACCTTCTTATCCTTAGTACTTCTAAACGTATAGCAAGCGTCAGCTCCACATTCCATACAGACGGCAACTACTTGGATCACATCGTCACAGAATGGCAGAAGTAAGCCAATTTGAGGGAAAATCTAACAGAAAACAAGTCAGTACCACGATGTATAAACTAAGCTTTACCTTTCTTTCGAACGTTCCATTCAAAGCTGCTACATAAACTAGTTTTCCAGCTTGAGCTAAACGCTCACAAACATCAGCCAAGTCAGAGAACTGAAATTTTAGAAACTAGAAGTGTAAAATCATGTAACTAACAAATTGGCCTTCATCGATTGAGACAACTTGAACGTTGGGGTCAAATATCTCTTTCTCGACCTCTATTAAGCGATTCGCCTTAAGGGTTGTACCCCGTCCCGTGACTCTGAATAAAAAAAATGTGATCCCGATAACATAGGCTAATTACTTGGTGTGAGTAGCAACTAGATTAGCATCATATCTTGTGTCACCTGCGTATTTGATCAAGACACAACTTCGCTTCGCGATTATCTGTCGGTCATGAAGTCTCAGCAACTCAGTTCTGAAAAACGAAAAGTCCAAGTCCACGCTTCAAAAAAACAACTCACGTTTTTCCACTGAACATTGGTCCAATGATACATGTTACTTTACCGCGGCTTGGCGCTGAAGGTGGCATTCCTGAATAGAAGCTACGCATTCTCGTATGCAGATAACGAAGATATTCAATATAACAAGTTGCACGAAGAAATGATGAGGTAGTTTTTAAGTGCAGTTTACCGCCAAAAAAGATTGTGTTCGAGAAATCAATCGATAAATCATTAGATAAAGAAGCATCTCCTAATAGTTCGAACGGTTTTATTGAGGAGAGAGATTTAAATAATTGTCTGGTCGAGAACGCTCTCAGACGTTGACAGGACACACAAGGGACATTTGTAGATATGATAAGGGAAAACAAGTCATCAAGGATCTGGGCAAAATCGGATAATCGAATGTTCATAATAGCCGAGATAACAAAAGATAGTTGATTGCTGGATAGACCATTGGTCAGCAAGAATGCGATCAAGAAAGATCTCCACAAATTCATTCGCATAGAAATTTGAGTCCATCTACAAGTTTCACATTCACAGATAATATACAAGTTAAAACAAAAAAAACAATAGAATAATCAGACAACCCGAATAGCACTTCTGCCCACCTTACAAAAAAGAACCTGCTTCACACCTTGATTTGTTAAAAAACCGAAAATGAAATCCTAATTTAAACATGAAGCTACTGGTCTTTAGCGTCATCTATTCCTAATGGAGTGATAGCAAACGTTGCTTCTGATTCTGCCAAATTCGGTGATTGGTGAACTTTGCAAATACGGGTTTCTCCTTTTCCTTTCCGTAAACCCAATCTATAATGGATTTCGTATATCTTCATTTCTTCGTAACTAGTATTCTCGAACCTTGTTGTTGTCATGTGAGCCATAATGTGACCACCGATTGGTTTTTTGGGGTCAGCTTGATAAGGACCTCCACCACCATCAACTTGAGCTACAACCTAAACAAACACAGTCAGGCTTCCCACACGCAAGCGCACCTGATTTGTCACAACAACGGCTACACCGAACTCATCCGCTAACTTCATTAAATGGCGGAGCATCCTTCAATTAAATGATAAACAGAAAAAAAGTAGGAAAACATACTTGGCTAGCATTGTTTGACGAGCTGCCAGTTCTCCTCTACCGGAGAAGTCGGTTCTGACGCGAAATAGAAAAAACAGTCTGTTGACTTCGAGCTTACCGTAACAGAGACATAATACTATCAACAATTAGGAGGGCATATCTACTTTCCGACATCATGGCTCCTAGAAATATAATAATCAAGGAAAAAAACCAAAGTCTAAATTCACCAGCAGCATTGAGCAAATTCATCTGGTGGTCAGAGTTATAGCAACGTGCAACTGCCACGTTTTCGAGAACATGTTCACCGGACATATTATACCTGGATCATGACGGTGTTCAGAGGCTAATAATTATCTGAAAAACCTCTGGGCAACAGCTAACAAACGTTCAGGACGAAATGTATTTTCTGTATCGATCCACATGCACTTCCCTTCTGCTCCCCCCATTTCAACAGGAAGCTGACAAATAACAGCCAAGTTATGACACAGCTGAGATTTACCTGTGCGATATTCTCCAAAAAGCTGAAAAAAACAATTTATTACTATGAAGAAAGAGTTTTATACCTCCGTAATACTACCCGTCTCGATTCCTCCTCCTAAAAGTCTATCCAGCTCTTGCGAACCTGTACGAATTTGAACCAGCTCACTTCTTCGCATATGAACTTCTGCTGCTGTAGTGAAACCCATTGGCACATATTTTATTGCTTCGTTCTAGAAATTGACTTTTGAAACTAAATTTTTCAACGAAGTTGCTTTACAAATAATTTCTCTGCTTTCTGTTCACTAATTCCTTTGACGGCATAAATATCCTTCCTGGTGGCATAAGCCACCGCCTCTACAGTATTAAAGCCAGCTTCCTTTAATTTTTTTATATCTCCGGCTGAGAATCCGGCTTGCTGAAAGTTGCCATAAATTTTTCTTTATTGATTAAATTGAATCACCTCCAGTTTATCAATAACAGTATAATATGATTCTTCCTCCTCTGCTGTTCCTTGGTTCATAACTGCTTCCATGGCTTCATCTTGAGCAGTTCTTTTTCTTGTTGCTTGTGCCGCCATCTAGATTAGAAATGAAAAAATAAACTGATAACAATAAATCAAGAAGTTTCAAGATGAAGCTGCTAATTAATATTCCATTCCGAAGCTTAATCGGAGATTAATTCAAATATTTTAACGTCCCGCCGTTTCGGCATAGAAACGAGGGTTTCGAGAGACTCAACCGCGCATGCTAAAAGAGAGAGAGTACAAAGAAGTCAGAGACGCAGATCTCAGTGGAAGGCACGACCCGGAACGCGATGCGAGGGCATCGGAGAAGGTCTTCTGTAAAATCCTCGGTCATCTTATCAATGTCTTTATGGTTTTAATTTGTCATCTTACTTTTAACCCTATATGGTAAACTTTCTGAGCTTTTCTACTCATACTCGTGTTGCTTTTCCTTTTGTTATGGCTGTTAAATGAATCACTTCGCTCCTTATTTTGCGTATATTCGCGCCTGTTTTGTCATAATTAATGTTTCTTATTAAGGAGCCGAACGCTCTAGATGAACGTCCCATCGGATGATTGGGATGCTAGAGTCTACAACAACATGAATTACATAAGGGATCACGACAATGCTTCCTTTGAAGTATGTTACTGAGAGCGATGTTTTGTGTTAATATTCATAATTCAGGACTCAGAGCGATTCGAAGACGATTCTGAATGTTCTTTCATTTCCTCAGAAGGAAGCATCATTCAAAATTGGAGAGGATGGGACAATGGCACAGGTTAAATGGTAAAGAAGCCTAAGTCACAGTCGTTTTTCAGGATCCTCCTTGTTGAATTACCATTGCACCTCCGGTCGTTACTCCTCGGCATCAAATAATACTGTTGTGCCTCTTAATAGAAGCTTATGTGCTGAGCAAAAAGGTTTACAAAATCTGAAAGAAATTTTTGCTATTCCCATTTCAGCTCCTGTTAATCCATCGACTCTGCTCGAGTTGTCGGCAAAAGTATGTGCACGATCGTTATCGTTTGAACAGCTAGAATTACATTGGAAAGAAATTAACAGAAAAAGAGAAGTGAGAAGCTTATTAATGCATTTGTTTAATTATTTTTCTACAGGAAGAAAGTTCTGATTATTTAATCCCATCATATTGTATACCAGAGAATCTTATTTTAACAATTATTCAATATTGCTTCCCCACATCTATGGATGATATCCGCTTGTATTGGTCAGTTTCTAAGCTCTGATAATCCTTTGTTATCTATTATTTGTAGTTGTCTAGCCAACGGTAATGGCAATGAGTTTTCAAATGGAGATACTATATTCAGCTGTGGTGCTGTGAAAGATGTAGTTCAAATCGGTTTGTGCAGTTCTTTTTTCTTTTACTCTTTTTTATTGCAGGATATTTAATAACCGCGAAAATTTCGGCGGTGCCACAGAAGGAGAGAGCTAGTCTCCCGCTTGATAAACCTGGAAAAGAGTATGATGTGGCTATTCAGCTTGACCGGTATAAATGCGTGTTTTTATTGAAACTTCTATGGTTTTGCAGAGGTCGAATCGTTGGTTGTAAATGTACATGTGGAAAACGACCACCTTGGTGTTTACATGTTGTTGCTGTCTGTTATCATCGTATTTATCGCTCATCAGAGGTTCAGTATAGGTTTGTTTTTTTTCTGAATCTTTACATTTCTCTTCATTTTCAGGAAGCCTATATGGGACTCCATAAACGAACTGAATCATGAAGAGTTGAAGAAAATGGTCCAGTTTTTTATTCATCAGATTCCTTGGGAGGTAAGATATTTTTTGTGAAAATAGCACGAGTAATAAAATAAAACCTGTATTCTTTCTCAAATCTGCAATGTGCTATGTAGTTTCATTTTGAACTGTGCATAAGCAGAGAGCGGTTGTGTTGTTCCGAAATCTTGAGAGACTAAATTGCAGTTTTATTCTATATTTTCAGTATCTTTCTACTGCTCAAAAACTGCTTGATGGGTTGAAAGCTCCGAATTCTGAGATTAACAAGTCGATTGGGGTTCCTGATCCAACTGACGGAGGCCATGATGAGGTTTTTTTTCACCATATTACTTGATTGGAGGCTTTCCTTCAGGTTCCCAGATGGACTTTCAGTGAACAGGATGTTCATTTCAAGATTAGGAAGCTTTTACACGTTTTTTGTATACCATCTCCTGTTGTTTACTCAGACGTCAGAGCGATGAGTTCTCCTATTTATAGTCAGCACCCCATTGCCCAAGAATGGAGAACTCTTCGTAAATGCATGCGAGCCCGCGAGCCCGAAGGTGATCATTTCTTTCATACTGCCACCTAATAACAACATCGAGTTTAGGCTTGTGGAACTTGATTTCTATTGTAAAAGAAATGTTCTCAAGGAGAGATTCTAATGCTATGTCAGTACTTCGAATCATAACAGAGGAATGCTTAGCCAATAGTCAGGTTCTTACGTGGTGGTATATAACAAGGCTTTTGCACACCAACGAATGGGTTCAATACTGCCAACGTTTGTTCTCTGAGTTCTGCTCGCCTATACTGATTTTTTTGCAGCAAAAAATGAGAGTGCAGAGAAGAGTAATCAAATAAATGCATGTCTTTTGATGGAAGAAATCGTGTCGTTATGGAAAACGTCGTCTTTAGACCCTTCTTTAAGCGATGAAAATAAAACACAGGTATCCTTTCTTCTTATTCTCTTTTGTTTTTTTTTGTGATTATGTGCCTGATCTGCTCAAGTGACATGTTTCAGCTCTTCACATTACTCCAAAACTATCACAGACTTGCTGTGAAACGTATTTGGAAGTTCATCAAAGATACAGACATGGATGATACTGGGCAAAAATCTGTACAGTTCTTCTCTGGTTTATCGAAGAAAGGACAATCTGAACACTCCTTGACGCTGCAAACAGCGAAGTTCACAATGAAAGAGTTTCCTGGTTTCCATCCCGCATTACATGTAAGTAAGATATTCCGTTCAAGTTAACTCAATTTTTCAAGGCCTGTTGGACTCTGCCTATTCTCCGAGTTGCTCAAGTCGAAGATGTTCCCTCAACAAGCTCAATTGTAAAACCAACCCTCAATATGTGTTTCTAAATTTTACATGTTTAATAGGTCACTGATTGGACTGTTGACACTTGCATCCCCTTACAATTCGGTAACAGCTCAGATTTCCAAACCACGGGAAAGAACAGAGTAACTTGTCATATTTAGAAATGATCGTCTATTGCTTATTTCAGCGTGTACCTCGTCCTATTGGTCGTGGTACGAGGAGAGTGTCTCCAGATGAAGAAAGCTCCGAGTCTGGACAAGAAAGCGAGCACGATGCTGTGAGCTTTTATTCTCATATATTTTTTAGAATCTTTTTTTTAGGTCGGTGGAAACGATGCACCGGGAGGATTCCCGCAGGAAGAACTTGATAGCGTATTAGCAGCTTCATATTTAGCCATGGAACCATTAGATATGAGGTTCATAAAATGTGAAGCGCTTTATGCTCACGGCTACCACCAAGAAGCGATTCATCTAGCTATTGATATAGCTCGTACCTTAAGATTGCATATGCCTGGAATAGATGAATCCTCTGTAAGTTTTTGAAAAATTAAATAATTACTTTTGGTAACGCGCATGTTGCAGACTGATCAGCTTGGATGTACCTCTGATGTTGATGTAGAGAGTACCATGAAGGAATTCAAAGTTAATACCGAAAAATCTGCTCAAACTCTCGAATGTCTTGAAAAGGCGTTTACGATAGCTCAGGTTAGCCAGAATGAAATAGACGAAAGTCAATTATTTTTTAAGATTTTACGTGGTCATAATGACTCCTTCTTGTTTTCATTCATACTTGGAATTCTATTCGCTCCTAAGCAACCGATGACCAATAAACTCAATCAATTCCGAGAACATCATATTGTCAGTTAACAAAATAATTGTTCGCTTCACGTTTTTGTATTCAGGAGTGTGAACTTATTGACATTATGAGGAGCATTCCAATCGGAGACACCGAGTTAGAAAAGCTACGCAAAGCATGCCATATCGTAAGAAACTTGTGTTTTACCTCTTCTGATTGTTTTTCAGATGTGTAATAACCGTGATAAGCAAATTCCTACAGTTCCTCATATTGCTTTACCTCACTTCATATACAAAACCTTATCGTATACATTGAATGCTAGTGATGTAGATCAGCCGAAGTAATCATGTTCCTATTTATACTCTTATTCAAATTTCATTCCAGTAATCCGAGAGTTCGGGATGTTAGATGTGTTCGTGACATTACTGATGATGACCTTTGCTTACAAGTTGCACTGGACGCACTTTCCTCTAAACTTTTGGTTCCCGAGGACGAGTTCCCAATGTTAAGCGAAGTGATAAGACGACAAAAGGGGGATCTATGTATCGATCTTTTGACGACTTACAAGGATTCTCGGGAAAAAATTGCTCTTGTGATGGATAGATACTTGGATCCTCATTATCATAAGATGTATAGGTATACTGAATACATTATTTACATATTTACCAGCTGTTCTTTTCAGCCAACATGCTTCTAATGCCGCTTTTTTCCTCAAGAAAGATTCTCATCCAAACCCAGAAACTAGAAACAACGTTGTTCGGCGTCCACCATATCCACTTAATGAAAATTATTTCTCCGAAGAAGATCATCAATGTCTCCGACCATCCAAAGCAGGTATCAAACGTTGGAGGTGAGTAACCACTTGTTGCATATGCTTCGATGAAATGGAAGTTCTAGGTTGAAAAAAATTGAATATCCTACGGAAGCCCATGCTCAATATATGACAGAATTGTCCAAAAGAATTGTGGAAGAAGCAGGAGGAAATCAGAATCCGGTAGTCTTTGCACCGTTGGGAGCAAATGCTGCTCAAGGTCCACATCGTAACTTACGTATGTGTGGAATTTTAATATCATTGTATGGCCTTGGTCTCCACAATAAGGTTAGAGTGCATGATTATGCTGGAAACATTGTATATGTACAGGTTTCTCCGAGTTGGCGTACAAGAACTTACAACACAATAACATCCTGGATTAATGGGCAAGCGATCGAAGTTGGTGCTTCGGCAATTGAGATGATCCGTGAGGTATGGGTTGGTCACTTCACAGCCTCGGAAATAGCATCATTGGCAGATAAAGTGAGTGAATATTCGCTTCCACCCCTAATAGAAAGATTCAGGCAAGTAGTGAATCAAGAGATCCCACAGTCATCAAGGAGGCTGCTGCACTAGCTCTGTCAGTTCTTCCTTATGCAGAGAAACTTTCCTCCACTGAAATTTCCAAAGCTCTGATGCAATGTAAAGAGCAGGATATATCCATGCTAGAAAGCGCATGCTTAGCACTCAAAGAGGTAAAAAATATAGTATAAACTGAATTTCATGAGTATTTTAGGTATATGTGAAGCATAATCTACCGGCAACAACGATGTGGCAAATTGCCCATCATTGGGAAGAGTTGTACACTGATCAACACTCTAAGCAGAAGAAACAGCTACTTCAGCAACAACCTCAAGGTGCTGGTAACTCTTTGCCACTACATATGCAACCTCCTATTGTAAGTTCTTGGTTTGATTATAGAAAATGAAATATATCGTTCAGCATCAGTTCATTCCTCCTCCACAACATTATAATATGTCACAACCTGTGCAAAATATGCATGTACCGCATTTTCATCCGAATATGCATAACATGCAGTTTGTTAATTATAATCAGAATAGGTAAGTTGAATATCTTAAACCGGTGTCGGTTGCAGCATGCAATCACAGATCTTACAGTATGATAACCAATGTCCCTTCTGGTCCTATGCCACTAATACCTTCGTTCAAACCGCCAGGCCTTCATCAAAGCCATTCTGCTCCGCAGCTTTCCTCAGTACCTACCCAACAACCTGGTGAACCTGATATGCGTCTAGTCCTTGTACGTCATCAGTTTGTCCGTTTATCATTATTTTTATTTTTTTAGGCTCTTCAAGCTGGTATTAGAGCCATTGAAAGCATAGGCTCAAACTCCAATACGGAAGATTCTCGGACACGATACGCAGTGGTAAAGAAGAAATTTTCTCCAAAAGCTTCATTCTTTCGAATTTCAGACCAGCATGCATACTCCAGATATTCAATGGCTCTTTTCACTATCTTTGAAGTTAGGTCCATACTATACGACCAATTTCTTAGAATGCTGTGCTCGAAATTTGAGTTCACCGTTCACCTTGTATAGTCTGGGAATAGAATCCATTACTCTGGACAAGCAGTTTAAGTTGTTGCCTCAACTTATTTACGGCCAAATAGATCAAAGCAGCATGTCGAAACAATTTCATCAAAATTACGGACAGGTATCAGTTTTTTCTTCCTAATTGTTCGCAAATATTTCGAACAACCGGCTGCTGTGTCGTCACGCGGGTGACTGATGCATGTTTCACGTTGTCTGAGTACATTAGCACCTGATATTGTCATCGTTTGTCGGAGTTAATTCGCTTCTCTAGGTACGCAATGCAATGCTGGCTCACTACCACCCACTCACCGCGGAATTGTTCGAACGAGCTGTAGAGCAGTTCTTCGTCGCAATCACCACTAAGCTCAATTTTAGTCGTTTCAGCAGTAGTGATAGGGAAGACGTAAGTTAGAAAATGTCATAATGAAACAAATTGGGATATATGTAGGCAACCCGGCTTTTACAAGCAGCCTATGAGGCTCTTCATTGTGTTCCGGGAACCGGAAGAACAATATTTGAAGACCTTTGTAGACAAGCAAAGAAACAAAAATCCGGGAAGAGAGAAATGGCTTCGGTGATAAACGAGTTGTTAAAACGAAATCCAAGTTTCCATTACCCCACTTCATATTCATAGCCATTTATAGCTTTTACTCGACCCAGATAGGATACATTTGGGAGAATTTACCCTCTGGCAGGGTGCTAATTTTATAATAACTCAAGTTTTACTTTTTTACCCTTAATAATAATATTAGCGTGGCTGGTTATTGTATGACAATTTACGAGTTCCTCTTTTGTTGTAATAGTACTTGATATTTGTAAATATCCAATATACATAAATGTATACTTAAAATCAAATTGTAATCTCCTACTATAGTCTGTCTGACAGATTGTTCTGATAATCATGAACTAATACAATAAATTTTTCTAAAGATGTATGTTATCATTCACTTGTTTATTCTTCTTCTTCAAAACAATCCACATAAGACTATAGATTTTTATTAATAATGGAACTTCCAGGATAGTTTTTAATCACATCAATCAGTGTCACATCTCATTTACTGAAGATTCTTCCTTTCAGTAGCTAGAGGCTTCCCCATTGATTGCTGACGCAGAATGACCATCTGATCTCAAAATGAGCATTGGAGGTCAAAGCATAAAAACGTGACAATACATTCTTTGGCACTGTAAGACAATAGAAGTTGAAAAGATGATGAAATGGAACGAGATGATTGCTCGCTTGTCGTTAGGAGCTCAAATGTATCTTCTGAAGCACAAGTTTGAATCAATTGGGACAAGTCGTAGTTATACTTTTATGAAAATATTTTGATTAGAACTGAGAGAGTGAGAGAGAGAGAGAGAGAGAAATTAAAAAAGTACAGTCAATAGACGACTTGAATTACCAAAGACTTTTCATCAATTTCTATAAACTCAAACGTTGTAATGTGAGGATGGGCAACGAACTTGGATCATGGAGAAGTAGCAACAACAATAGATGGTTTAAAAAACAAAGTCCACATGGACGTAGACACAGAAACTAATGTGCAGATGGATTTTGTATAAGAAAAAATGTACTTCGAATGTCATTTTGTCGTTCGTCTCTTCTTATTTTCAAAAATATTTTCAATTAACTTGTCATCGTTCTGTTGTTTTATTCAACCGGTTCAAACGTCTGACACGTAGAAAATGATCTGAAACCTGTCTGATATTTGACGTAAAAAGCACGTTTCCGTCATAAGCATACTTAAAGTCTTGAATTTTGTTAATGACTTAACTCCTGCTTCCAATATGTTTGAGCAGGTTTGACGTGTTTCACCAACTTACAACTTGTTGTTCCACCTTCTCCTGCCCCAATGCCTCACCCTCAGGCTGTTTCCTCGAATGTCGTACGCTTATGGTTAAAGTATGTCCTCCTGGACAACACAGTCATACTAATATGCCATATGGACTTCAGATGTATTTTCTCAATTCGGATTTTCCGTTGACCTTTTTTGTCTTTTTCTTTCATCAATTCTCATACATGAGAGGTATACCGCCTATTCCCGTTCCCTCCTTCTCACTTTCTCTCCATTTTTTATTTGAAAGTTCTTTGCCCATCTGTGCCTCTCGATGATGTCATATGGAATTTGTGTTCTCTTCAATCTAATTGTTCAGCAGTTCATTCACGCTGTTCACATCTCCAATATGATTTTTTCGGAAGTTTTGTTGATGTCCGCCTGTATATTTGTCCTCAAACTTCATTCATCTCCAGTCTTTTTCTTTGTAAAATCGTTTTTATCAATGATGTGATCATAGAAAGTTGAGTAACATTCTCTTTGTTTGAACTCAACAGTTGTCGCTTGATTTCAAGCTCAAGGACAAGCTTAAAAAGATTATGTTGACTAAGTTGAACGTTCAATATCCAATAACTACATACGGTCATTTGAAAACGAGTTAATCGTGTTTTGCTTGTCCTACTTCCATATATATTTCTCAGAAGTTATTGAACAGAACCATCTGATGTGCCACTGACTCGCCAGAGTTCAATCTCTTATTTACTCAATCGGTTCAACAACTTACACTACCAATCTTCACTCAGTCTTGTTCACAGCAACCGTTTTCTCGCACAGTCATTGAGATGATGGCAGTCAATCTTATCCTGTTAGTTGCCATATGATCGTCTGATACATCTTTATGATTGATCCGATTTCTGAACAAAAAAATCCGTATAAACATGGCAATTTGATCGTTCTGCTTCAATTGCTGCTTATTTTCGATCATAGCTCTGTTTCACTCTTTCCCTCTCCCTCTCTCATCCCCCTCTCTCTCTATAAATAAACGTAGAGAGAGAGAGCTAGAGAGAGATGGATGAATAGTTACTTACTTTATTGATTCATTTCATGAATGTCGGGAAATCTCTTGTCTTGAATCTGTCTGTTGGACGACGGGTTTGGTAGTCTGAATTCCAATTATGTACTTTAAGGACTATACATGTAAAGCTTTATATGGCAAATCATGTGATAGCTTTACACATCTTTTCTTATTTTCACCATTTCGACTATGTCATTGTTTTCTTTTTTTTTTTATTTTCTTTTACATATTTTTGTATTATTTTTAAGTAATCACACACAGTGTCAATGAAAATGATAGAGAAGAAGAAGGAGGAGGAGTAGTAGAAGGCGAAGGTAGAAAGAGATAGAGAGAGAGTATAAGAAAGCATGAGTGTCCAAAGAGGAGGATAGTGATGGTGAGGAGAGGTTGAAGCTTCTGGCCAGGCCTGTCTTCCCACCTACTTTTTCACATTTTTTTTTGTTCCATCATCAAAAGTGATAACTAGTTTGATCTTCTTCAAAGCTTTTTTCTATTGTTTTTGCTTTATTTCGTTACTTTTCTTTTCCCAGTGTTTCAACTCGCTTTTCATGCTCTTTTACAACACAAAAACTTTCTTTTCTTACTCTTCATTGTTGTTGTAAATATTTGGATGAGAAAAGTTAAAAAAAGATTTCATTTTTTGCTATAAAAAGAGACAGTTTTTGTTTCAAAATTGCCTCTTTTCTCTCTTTCTCTGTCTGACGCGCTGCGACGAGACCATCATCAACCCTTCGCCTTCAACTACTCCCCCACTACTCTCAACACCATCCCCATCTCAACCACAGCCCCCCATACCCTTTGCCTTTTCCTCCCCACACCATACATATACACATCCATAGATTTAGGTCGTTGATTTGCTATTTAGTTGTCTTGTTGCTACCAAGCAGTTGAAATGCTTTCCGTTTCAGACACTTACACCCATACATACATACTACTACATACATACCTACACGCACCATGATGGATCTTCAGTTTTTCCTTAACTGCTTATCAGTTTCTGCCATTATCACAACAATATGTTTATTCTTCACCGGAATGTAAGTCATTTTGCCAAATTCTCATCATTCCTTCTCTCCATCCACCTCATTCCCTTCGTACAGTCATGTGCAGTGATAACTTTCAATCATTTTCAGACCTATCTGTAAGAAAATTTTAAATCAAAAGTCCACACAAGATATCTGTGGAATTGTCTTTCTGATGGGATTCATAGGGTACAGTTCGAAGGAATGCTGATCAGAGTTATTTCTTATCTTGCAGATGCTCTTTCTGGCTAAGATACGGTTTCTTGAAAGAGGACAACACAATGATGATTGTGAATGCTGTTGGATCGAGTCTTTTCCTCATTTACTGCACTTTCTATTTGGTCTACACAACGCCCAAAGTTCGTTTTTGTTTCAAATCATTTTTGATTGTGCGATTCAAAGAAAAAAACAAATTTTTTTCTTTGAAGTTCACCTTTGCATGGAAATATTGTTTATCGTGGATGCTTATAATCAGCATGTTGTTATATACAGAAATTCAACCAAATATGGATTTATTAGGCATTGCTTGTATGACTTTCAATATTTTAACTTTTGGTGCACCTTTAGCTGGATTGGTTCGTTTGTTTTCAATCTCATTCATTTCATTCTATTCATTTATCTCTGCAGGGTATTGTACTCAGAAAGAAGTGTTGTGATAGCCTGCCGCTACCCATGTGTGTCGCAAACTTACTCGTGAGTTCTCAATGGCTCTTGTACGGTAACATAGTTAAGGATTCATACATCATGGTAAACTTCTATTCATTCATCTTTATATTCATTCATTTGATTTCTTTCAAGATTCCAAATGGAATCGGCATGGCATTGGCTGTCTTCCAGCTTTGTCTCTTCATCGTATTCCCCATGAATACACACGAACGTTCATTGTTGGATAGATTCATGTCGTTATGTAGTCATCCAGAGATATCAGAACCAGATACAGGTAACAAATAGTTTATAATGTGTTAAGCATATACAAACAATGCAAAATGTTTCAGTTGAACAAAGCAAGTGCTCATCTACTACCCTAACTATTGACAGTGAAGATGCATTCTTGAAGCAAGCCAAGTATTAAAATTATAATTGAAGTCAAGCATCATTAACATCTCATCTAATTGCAGAAATGTAAAAAGACATTCCAATGTGCAGATGGATGACTCAATTGCATATCCAATCACTAAAACAAAAAGTTTTCCGGATGTATCTCGTCTGGCCTAATAGATCAAATGCTTGCATCTACATCTCTTGAACCAAGGATTTTCATGTAAATATTTGTAAAAAGAAAATAGTTATGAATTCAGATTCTCATTCTTGTTTGTTGGAATATATCATTTGTGTGTGCAATACGTGTAGATCAGTATTCAATCATTTATGTGAAAATTAAAATAGAATAAACAATATAAAATTCATTTTTTAATTTAATTATTAAAAAATTTTAAAATTCTCATCTTCTTCTTCTTCTTCTTCTTCACATTTACATGTTGATAGCTGTTTCGCCGTCGTCGCTTCGATGTCGTCGTTTACAAGCTGCGTTGCCAGAGACGACGTCGAAGGAGATGATGTTGGATGGAAAGGGGCCTCTATTTACTTGGAAATTTAATACATTTTCTATTGAATTGTAGAGATTTGCTTTTGCTCCCAACAAAACTTTATGCTTTCTCAACTCCAGAAGACTCATTTTGTGGGTGTTTGTGTGTGTGCTTCTCGTCATCGTCCACCCTTCACATCAGCTTCATCGTTAATCCGTCCGTAATTAGTTGTAATTCATTTAATATTCATAACCGTTTGAATGAAGAAGTTTTCTCGTTGTTTAGAAGAGACTCTTCAAAACCTCTTCAGCATAAAAGTTTTTTTTTCTTTTCACCACAAACGTTTGTGCTCCATTGCAGATGAGTCTTCTGTCCTCCAATCAATTTTCGCAGTTCATTCAAGCTATTAAGAACTATCCTGCTTTGTATACGCGTTCAGCCGATGAGCAAGATATGCAACTAGCACATAAGGAGATTGGAGAACGCTTTCAGATTTCATGTTAGATCTGCTTTCATTCATTTACTCATCATCTCATTTTCTGCTGTGTAGCGGGCGCTGTGGACAAACTATGGCGTCAAATTGTTTCTTGGCACAGACGTATGCATCCAAATGAGGATGACACTCGATTTCTATTGAAGCAACCAGAATGTTAATAGATATGCCGTGCTTTTCGCAAAATGTTTTTTGCCTTTTCAGCTGACTCGGACGATCCATGGCAGGAAGCTGATGACAGAATGGCCGAATCTCTTTCGCATTTTTTCATTGATGACTTGGAATTTCTGTTGAAATGAGTGCATGATGGACGCATTCCGATGTTGTAATCAGATTATCTGTATCCTATGATTGAAGTCACTATCATTGCCGATTGTTGACTTTTTTAGAATTCCTCGTCAACCCTTCTCGAGTAGTAGGAGAAAAACAACTGAAAATTGATTTAATTGGTCAATTGTTTTGAATTGCTCATGTAGCTAGTTGGAGGCTTCTTCGTTACTTCCTTGTTTTTTCTTAATTCTTTAACTTTTCGTCAGCAACCTTTGGTCGCAAGACTACTTTGTGTTTCAACTTTCTGTTAACCTAGGAACAGGTCTTTCAGGAGAAGATGAAACGTACCCAGTCTTAATAATCGGAAGTGCAATATACTTACTAATTATGTGTAATATTAGTTCACAATGAAAGACTGCCATGCTTTGATTTTTTAATCAATTGGTCTCCGCGTCTACGGTATGCATTCATGCGAATAAACTTTATAAAGAAGATGAACTGTGTAGAATGCTAAGTATTTGCTTCCCTGATTCTAGTGGGCTTTGCAGAAGCTGCACTCTAGTGTTATACTATTTATCAGAGCAAGCAATTCCTTAGGGTTCAGACCCGAGCTATGAGCTATAAGCTGTTTCATCGCTGAGCTCCAAGCTTTTTCTACGACATTTATTATTTTCTGATGATAGCGCGGGAGCATATCCCTTCTGTCACCCAATGAAGTGTAAGAGAGACATTCATTAGAAAGTCCTTGAAAACGTTCTAATGAGTGATTCGCATATTTCCTTTTTCGGACAACACAACTAGATGATAAGTAGTGAGGAATGTTGTAGAAATGATAAGGTTAGAGAGACAGTTGTTTATACGAGGTCACATGATTCTGCGCATCTCCTCGTATTTTCGAAGCACGTCCATGGGGTCTGGCTCATTCTCTCTGTGTAGGTGTATCATTCATTTAGTCAGATCAAAACATTAGAATCATATAGGAAAAGCAACCGTCATTGAATACTCAAAATTGAACTCAGATCTCGGTCTAGCTTAATCCTTGACACGAATGAAGTTTTTTTCAACAAAAGGCGCAGCTGTTTCTAGCTCAGCAGCTGCTCTTGTTATATCAAGATAATTTCAAACGAGCTTGACGTTGAATTGCGAGCAAATCCCGACAAACGTGTCAGCTGAATCACATCCTCTGATTACAAGCCTTGCACAATGGTCGAAGTTGCTCGCAGAAAAATCAGCTCTCGAAGGTAAGTGTCATATATGGAAACATAAGTACTTCTCCAGCTCGCAAAATCTTCAATTCATGTGTCAGTAGATGAACGTATGATAGTTAATATTTTTTTTGCAAAAACAGAAAGAAAAACAAAGTTCCTGAAGCTGCCAATCAAAATGTCAAAGTACTATTGCTTTTTCGAACTTATTCTTCCTTCTTCATCCTATACGTTAGCTCAGCCTTCTCAAAAGTCATCCCCCGTCTGTGAAACATAATATCTTTCAATTTTTTTCGCGCTTCATCTTTTAAAAGTTTTCGTTCCGAAGCAAATTCATTTTTCTTCAAAATTCATAACAATGAGCGCACCCGTGTTATTCACCTTAGGAGGTTCGATGGATAGCAGGTTCGTCTTGTTGTGATGCATCCGAAAACATGTCCTTCTACAATGTGTTTGAAACCACTATAAGTTAAAACTAACATTTCAACGTAGCTCAACCAACTTTTTGTTTCTTTGATATAGGCGTGAATCTAGAAGATGGAAAGATCCCCCTGATAAAGCACTTCGAGCTAAAGACATTCTCATCAGAGCCTCCAGTCTGACAGAAGATAAAAACCTGCAGGTAGGTCTTCTTGTTGATTATGAAAGAAAACTGATTGGATTCAGGCTGTTCAATTCCTGGGGTTAGCATTAGAAACATGTGGGATTGAGAATGAAATTGCAACTTTCTTGAAGAAGAAATGCGATCAAACTTTCGGTTAGTGACCTTTCTATGAGATGTTAGTAGCTTTGATGGTTGCAGGTATGTCCTGGCAGTGTATAGTCGGTAGAAACTTTGGATCTCATTTGGATTGTGTCGAATACATTCACCTTACTATTTCAAAAATTTCTGTTCTGATCTTTCGTTGTAAATAAACTGACATGTACCTGTTGTCGAGAACGTACCCAGGACACACATACCAAGTTGGAAGCTTTCAGTGCGAACCATTTCCGTCGCTTTCGAAAACAGTGAAGGGGGGGATCTAAAGTTGAGGTCTCTGGCTCATAAGCCTGTCAGCTGTCAACCCGTACTCGAGATGTGAAAAGGTATCCTATTCAATGCGTTATTCATGAAATTGAAAATAAGAACATCAAAATATAAACCTTTGTTTCATTAGAATTATATATCACAAATATTTATAATTGCTCGTATAGCCATTTTGACAGAACTACCGCGGATCGAATTGTCGTTTAAGGCTCAAAAAAGTGACCATATAACGAATTCTCTTGGATGGGAATGTTAAAAAGCAATTAACAATGAAAAGAATGTAATTTGCTCTGTTCTACGACCGAAAGATAATCTACAATCAGAGACTGTATAGAAGTTTGAACCGAAGCTCAGGATTGAGAGAGAGAAAGATAGTAAGAGGATTTTCAAATTAGGCAGACTTGTTACGAAAAATGCAGCAATTTCGTGCCGCGATAGTTACTGGCAAAATCAAAGTAGATATATGGGAAGGCAAGGCACTCTAAACGGCCCAGGCAGTTCAACAAAAGTAAAGAGGTGTGGAGAACGAAAACTACTCCTTCACGGACAAACCGTTTTCAAATCAACGCATATTATGCACTGGTCAAGTTGATACTTGATACATCTGACACGACATGCTACTTTAAATAAGGAAACAATCACAGGTTCTGCTTACAAATAGGCACTATTTTCAGATAATTAGATAAATAACTAGCTGCACTAGAAAAATATGAGCTTAGACATGAGACAATTGACTAAGAGGCACAAGACGAAGGCCGGGAATATTGAGAATATGCATTGAGAAAAGTGACTTAGTTTCATAAGGAATTAGCAAGAACTATGGATTTATGAGTGTGTTGTGATAACTTCCTTTCCAGTTCCGCGAACGAACAGAACCCTATTGATGTTGTCCGAAAGTACTTCCAAATAGTGAACATAATCGTCGAGATCTGCAATATATTCTGTTTGACCACCAAAGTTATGTTAAAGATCTTACTTTCTCTTCCACGAGGAGGTTTCGGTAAGTTCAACAAAACAAGTTGACTGTTAAGCGAATGCTCAATGATGAGTTCATTCAACCTTACAGCTGTGTGCATCTTGTGGACCTTGCTTCTATCCAAAGCTCTGAGTTTTTCCTTCTTGGTCTTCTCCTTCTTTTCTTCTTCATGTCTCTCTTCCTTGCTGTCATCATCTACTTCTTCAAAAATGGGATCATACTGTTTGCTTTTCGTGAAATAATTGTACTACCTTCCTTCTTCTCGTCTTCCTCGCTCTTCTTCTGTTCTCTTTCGCGTTGTTCGGCAAGAACCAATGGCTATAAAATAAAAAATAAAGAATATCAAACAAAGTGAACTTTACCGAAATTCTCTTGGCGTTTCCATTGACGACCGATAAAGTGTTGGAACGAACGTCTTGCATTTGCTTCATGACCATGGTTCTCTCCTCCATAAGAAGGGTTCTCTCGAATGCATTCTTGGAAATTTCAGGATCAGCTAATTCGACAATCTTAAGAGTATTCAGTAGTGTTTTTGAAGTATTCTCTTCAGGTTACCAATATCTTGGCGTCAATACGAAGTTGGTAGACATATTGTTGAAGCTCTTGTTGCATCTTCAAGTTGTTGTCACTTTCTTGGGCAATAGCAATGATGCGAAGTTTGCATCCTCTCCAGACCTGAGAACGAAAAAAAAATGACGAAACTTCTTGAATTTGAAAGAACCTTATGCTGTTTCAAGAGATAAGCAATCAAAAGGCAAAGACCTCCATCTTGGACAATCCAATAAACATCAATAAAACCTTGAAGCTTGAAAACGCTGGGGAAGTCAATGATTCCCTTAGCGACCAAGAGACACATATCCATAGCACAAGCAGCGTGGAGTTTATCTAGACCTCACGATAAAAACTATTAATTCATACAATACGTACCTGTGAATGTACTGTACTCAGAGTCAGAAGCCTCGGAAGCTCCACGTTCATGAACTGGCCAAGAAATGAGCATAGTGTTAGGCTTAAGACCTCCAAGTCCAACAGATTGGATAAGTGTTGCGATAGATCCATGAATTTGAGTTTCGTCGTGAACCAAAGTCTTAGCAAAACCACGTAATCTACATTGGTTCATATCGAAGTCCATACGAGATTTAATCTGAAAAGAGTTATATTGAATATGCTGTGAGAGTGTGAACTGTACTTGTTCGGCACGTTTCCTGTCATCAGCACTGGTAGGGTTACCACGGATGAAAGATGTGACAACAGATAATCCTTTACCAGCTTTAAGCTGAGAGGCTAAGTTCAACAGGTTCAAATATCTGACATCAACAAGTTCTTTAGCCCAAGGCATGGAAAGAATGAGAAGAAGTTGTGGTCTATAAAGCAACAATAAGCATCATTCTAGACTGATGAATAAACCTCCAGTTCTTAGGATGTGGCTCTTTGTCTTCGATCTTCATTAAGGAATATTGAGCGGTAGTCAAAGCTAATCCACGGATTCCATCTCCCCATTCCTTCTTGGCTCTGAGAAAACAATATTTAGTTATGACAAAAAAAAGCTGAACGAATACCCTTTCCATTCGACATATTTGTAAATGAGAAGACAGAGAGCACATGAGATGAGTGCATAATCCCAATGAGTCGAGAACATAATGAAGAAGCAAAGAGAAGCTCCAAGGAGGGAGAGGAACCTAGAAACTCAGATTAGTAAGCACAATGTTTTCATAATATACCAATGATAGTATTTGAATCTTGGTCTCCAGTTAGGTGCTCCAAGTAATGAGTGAAGAGCACAGATTAAGTTAACGAAAGCATAGCACATCAAGAAGAAGAAGTCGACAACGGCTGCGATGTTATCCATAGCACCCATGAGGATAGCTAGTTCGGCGATGATAGTGGTTATAACCAATCTGAAAGATTTTTATGAGTACAAGACTTCCTACTTAAGACCAACCCAAGGAATGGTTCGTTATTTTGAGTTACTTTCTTGAAGGGGGAAAGGAAAGGAATGACTTCATCCTTGGCAATACTTTGAAGGAGACGAGGAGCTGAGCATAAGCATTGAAGAGCAGCTCCGAAAGTTGACAAGAAAGATCCAATCAGTAACACCCAGGGAGATGGCCAAGCAAGCAGTGCCACAATCATATTACCACCCACTGACTGTCCATTTCTGCATAGAGACCATGTTTTCAAAAGTATGAACCTAAAACCAACTTGTCGCGAAGGACATTTCCATCTATGGCAGCTCCGAAAACAAAAGCCAATGAGAAGTATATGAATGAAGTTGTTAAAGTAGCAGCGATTGTTCCCGTTGGAATGGATTTTTGTGGATTTTTCAAATCTCCTACAAGAACAGATAAGCAAACAAAGAAAACGAAGACAACATACCACTCATATTTGCTCCTGTGAAGATTCCAGTTACAGCAGGGAAATAAATGGCCAAAAGAACCCAGAAGGAGGTCTTGACATCCTATAGAAAAACAAAAAAGTTATGAGTGGAAAATAAAATGAAGCTTTACCTGGAACACGTCAGTTGAGAGATTAGCTTCCTCGGTAGGAGTGGCGAAGAATTTTCCGACATATTGAGGTCCAATGTTATCTTTATTGAGATACTGTTTAAAAAAAAGCAGAAGGTATTACTCACCGACGAGAGCGTCACTCTTGAAACCAGGGAATCCATTAATACACTTGAGACTTTGAGAGAAGAATGACTGTGAGCAAGTAGAGTTATCACAAAGGTTGAGCATGAGTAATTCATTGCTAAACATAAACGCTTGTCAATTTTAATAGCAGACAATTAAACCTGATTGAGCAGTAGGTGCAAACATCATCCATGGAGGCGTTTGAAGGAAGGAAAATCTTTGATTGGAGAAGCTTAGGACCATACATACATACTCTAAAATGAAAAAACTTGAGTTATGAAATGTAAAAGAACGTTACTTTTGTCCAATATCAGGATTCAGAGTCTTCTCGATACCACCAGCATAGCAAGCAAGAATGGAGCAAATGACACAAACCAAGGAAACCTTGAAGATACGACAATAGAAATTTAGATATGATCTGAATGCTTACAGGAGCTAACATCTGAACGAACTTGACCCCCATGGCAACAATGACAAACTCGAGAAGTAAGAGAAGAGTTGAGTAGAAACGAAGATTGTTAGTCATCATTCCGAAAGTACCTATAAAGAAGGAAAATGAGGTTTGTTCTATTAGATAGTATCCTACCGGTATCTTGTTGAGCTTCTATTCCACCGATCGTTAATGACGGGAATATATAAAGCTAAAAAAAAGAATAAGTAATATGGATGAACAGGTCAAGTCTTACCAGCAATATTTCTACGCCTCCTACTAGATACATAGAAGTTGCCACAGTATTAGCTAGATAAAATAATAATCCTACAGCCGTTCCAAACTCCGGACCCAGATTTCGGGATATCATAAAATACGCCCCGCCACTCTCAACTACTCCGTTTGTGGCAACAGCAGAAATCGAAATACAGGTGAGGAAAGTCTATAAGATGATAAACTATGGAAGAGTAAAAGCTTGCTGACATACACAGAGACAGCAAAGTAAAAGTAGAAGGAAAGTTTGTCCAAGACCGGCAATACCAACAACCCAGAACAATCTGATAAACATAGTAACTCCAAGAATATGTTGAATGGTTGGAAGATATACTCCGAGCATAACGCCTAAGTCAGCCTAGAAAAGTATGAGGTTTGTAAAAAAAACTTCATGATTCACTAACTTTTTTTTTTTGATTTTCACTCTGAGCTCGTTCATTCGGTCCGGGAGTGACGTGAGCTTTCAAGTAACTAGAGAAGAATGGCATGGAGGGCTCTTCGAACAGAGCCAAATTGTGATTTCCTTCTTTTCCACTGCCGCCCCATGAGAACAGTTCTCCTGAAGATTATGGAGGTTCTTTTTTTCAAAGCGAAATTTGGTTCTGTACTGTGGCTGTTATCTCGGGAAATAGAACCGGCCGAGTGAGGGTCAAGTCGTAATGAAAACCTCGAAGCAACTTTGCTAATAAAGCTTCTGTTGGAATGGGTATTGGAATGTGTGGGACTTTTACAGACAGGAGCTGATGGGGTTGAAGTAGTCGCCTCCTCGTCCAGAAGACTTTTGTCGTCGTCGCCTCCGACGACTATAGTTATGGAGCCCTTGTTGGGCCCGTTACCACTATTGCTCATCCAGAAGCTAAATTAGTCCGAATAGGAGGTCAGAAGGCAGAGAAATACACAAAAACAGAAGTTTTGTAATCTAATATACGTATAAACAGAAAAAGTTGGAGAAAATGTTCAAAAAGAAATAAATCAATTTTAAAAACCATAAATAAAAAGAAAGCGAAAAAGGGAAACAAGAAAAGCTCCAATGATCAGTGGCGTCTTATCAGAAGAATTTTAGGTTAGTGCAGACATATGAAACACAGATTAAAAATCCTTTGGAAACACAAATAGATCTTTCGATCAAAATTTCCTTTAAACTTCTGAGTTTTACCTTGAGAGGAGAAAGAAACAAAAAAATGCTTTGAGTCAAGCCGAAGGATGACTCAGAGAGTTGTTAAGAAAGCGAATAAAAAAATGAAAGGACGATCACATTAGAGATGGGTGTTCCAGAGAAACCTCAATCGAAACTTGTGAAGTTGTATACTATGATAAAGAAGAGATATGATCATTACAATAATTCAGGAATAGGGATGATGACGCAGATGAGGAAGGAAATGAGTTAGAGCTGAAAAGGAAGAAGAATCTCCGTTCTGTCAGACACCGAACAACAGCTGTAGTCAGACATGTGCATCGTGGTGACGAAAGCAGATGGCCCTTTTTGAACATAAAAAGGCATCTAATTGAGTGCTCTAATGGATACATCGTATTGACATTGAGAAAGAAGGTAATTCCGAAAGAAAGGTCACACATATCCTTCCTCATCCTAGGAAGTGGACAATGGAATTTCAATGCTGTTGATCGTTCAAGTGGAAGAAGAAAGCAAACTTTTGTAAAAACAGAATTAGCATAAAACATGAAAACAAATTGGAAAGTTGAACTTTATAAGGAAATTACGCACGAATTTGAAATAGTCGTTGGAATCTCAGAGATCACTTACAAACATGATTAACGACTGTCGCTAATATCACTTTGACGCACTGTTGCGTACATTTTTGAATTGTTCATTTTTATTTTGATGAGCTGATGAAAGATGAGAAAAGTTAAAGATGAGAGAGTGGAGTTTAATGGAAGTTCAAATGAATTATAGAAAGGTTTGTCATTTCACTAAGCACCAGTCGAATCAGCTTCGAACAAAAAATCGAACAAGATAATGCAAATAGTAACGGAGAAGGAAATAACTCTCAGTTCCGTGAACTGTTGCTCAAGGAGTGTAGAAAATGCTATTAAGAAGAGAAAAAAGCCGTCTTGCAATCAATAGCGACAGCATTTAAGCATTCGTTTTTGGTATTAACAACTGAAAACATTTGATTTGAGAGCTAAAGGTGTCAACATTTATGGCAGAATGTGCTCGGATAGAAAGAAAAACGACAAAAAGTGTGGGTGGAGAATGGATGGAAACGATGAACAGCTTGGTGAAGTCATTTCAGTCGAACATGTTCAGGCTGATGGAAGCTTATTAAGCCTACCTGCTGATGGAAACTTCTTGAATAACTTGAGCAAACAGGTCTCGAGTGGAGCATATGCAGGTAAATACATGTGTGGCATCAATGTGATTGAGATGTTTTTAGAGACGTTTCAGCGGACAAAAACAGAAATGAAGGCTTTCTTTCAATGAATATGACTTAGGAAGACTTCTTTAATCGTTATGAACTATTTATATCAAGCTTATTCATGAGAACGTCTCAAGGGTATTAGATCGGAAGCGAAAGCATTCAGCTGAGCTTGATCAGAACGCATAAGTGAGCAATTGAGGTAAATCGAAAAGCGGTAATTTGGAGATAAGAGATAAGATAGCCGCAAGAGTCGAAATGTAATTTTGAAAGGTGAAGGTTGGGGACAAAGACTATAGTCCCTTTTAAAATTGAAAGGAAGGGGGGGGGGGGCTTTTCCATCAGTGCCGTCAGCAGTTTCACTTGTCTCTCTCTTTCAAGTGAGTTCTCACTGCATCTGTTCAAATGAAAGAATGTCCATGTTTGGTATCTGTTTGCATTAAAAATTAGAAATTGGAAGAGATTTTAAAGTTGTTATCAGTTATCAAACCATATCAGATTAGTACATGAATCTTCAAAACTTCCAATGCTTTACAGATGATGAGAGAGAAAGAGACACAGATGATCGGCCAAAAAATATTGAAAGATAAAGAAATAGAATCAAAGAATTTCCTTGATGAGTACAAAGATTTTTCAGCCATTATCTTCTAAAATTAAATAAAAACAGATGATTAGCCGTGCAAATGCCATTCTCGTTCATTCCGACTTCTCGTTGCAGCTCCGTTTTCATTGGCTTTCATCCATATATAGAAGGGTAGGAGGAGGAAAATGGCAGATTGTTTTTTCCATATATTCATATAATAAAAAGTAAATTTTGCGAACGAAATGTCATATCGTTTTAGGAAATTTCTTTGAAAAACGATGATATCATAGACATATTTGGGAAAATTAAAAGATAAGGAAACGAATATTGAAAGAGCATCTTTTGGAATTTACGATGATTCTTTTACCTCTCGCAAGTTGACACCAGACTACAAAAAGACAAATTGCAAATTGGCTTAGATTTGAAACAATCTTCGGGTTCATTACAATCATATTCACAACAACTCATAATGAATTGAAAGAAATACGGAGGAGGAAGAGAGAGAGAGGAAGAGAATAACAGTAGCATAACAGTTGAAGAATGATGAAGCCAATGTCCAGCAGTAGAAGCTTAGATCTAAGCTTTGAATGGAAAACAGTCCTATTTGTTTTGTTTTATCAATGTATATTTTTTGTTAAAAATTTAGAAAAAGCCCAAAAAGTGTTAAAAGATAAGGATTGCATTTACGACTTGACCATTAAGGAGGGAAGGGAAACATCACCAAAAAAAGGGAAAAAAAAGAATGAAAACTCACTATCGCCCATGCTGGCAGTTGATACATTACGGTTTCGTTCTTCCAATCCTATGCCATTGGCTCTGAAAAGAATTTTAATTCAAAGAGAATAAAATAAAAAAATATCTTTTTCTCTCATAGTCATCAATCGATTTTTCTTTTGTTTTAATTTCTAAAAATGTTTTTTTTTCTGATGAGCGCTCATCTTCCATCATTCATCATTCCAATTTCCTTTCTTTCTTCGTCTTTCTCATTTAAAAATAATTTTTATCATTTCTGAACCTGGTCGTTCATCGAACTATTTCGAAGGTAAATTGTGATTTTTGAAATTTCTTCGAAAATAAAGAGCTCAAAGAAGCAATTTGTGAACTTTTCACGAAAATGTACGCAATGGTACGAAATGGTACGTTCACGCATCAATCTCTGAACGGCTCAGATGGACTGAGATCAACTAGTGAAGCAGAGTGGATTAATATGCTTCAAGATCAAATAATGTTGAGAAAATATATTTTTGGCTTACCTCTCTCGAATAGTAGACATGCTGGTGCCCTTTCACGTTAGATGTGATCTCGCGTGAAAAGGGCTTCCAGGTTGTGAACTTTAAACTTTTGCAGCAGAAAGTCACTTGATTTCATATTAAACAAGAAATTCTCTCGTAAAAGGATATAAATCATAAAGTGTAAATGTTGTTTTTCAAAGATCGAAGAAGAAAGAGGTGGAATGATGGTGAAAGACCATCTTTGTAATATTCACGCGCCATGTTCACGTGAACGCTATGTTGTTTGAAAAGACTATCTTTGATCGTTCAAATGATTTTTGTTGATTTTTCGTGGAGATTGATGGCATCAACAAGCTTTCATCAATGAAGATAAAAACAAAATAAAAATGAAAAAAGTTTTTCTTACGCATTCTCCGGTGAAACAATAATCTCCGGCGGAATGACTTTCTCGTCATCCATCACCAAACTTCGCCACCACGACGATTGTCGACGTCTATAATAACCATTTTCATATGGAATATAATAAATAATAAGGTCAGAAAGAAATTAAATTTAACCACAGTTATGATATAGTTAAGATGATTTGAAAATCTAACTTTCAAACATTTGTCAAGGACTTTCAATCATTTTTGAAACGAAAAAATTTGTCTAAGTATTTATGAAATGGAAGATTCATGATTAAAGGAGAGAAAAAAAAGAAAAAAGAACTATGAGAGAGAGAATGAAGAGAGAGAGAGGGAGAGAGATAGATGGGGATACTGAAGGGAAGTAGACAGAAAGAGCTCACTACGTGAATAGTAAAGAGAGACTGTAGACAAGCAAAGAGCTCTCTCTCTCTCTATGTCCTGAAGGACAACGAGTTTTGTCTTTTGAAAACAAAAAAAGTTTTTTTTTGTTCAAAAATACACTTTTTTAGCTTTTGTTTGGATTTATAGTTGAAGTGATTTGACAAAGATTTACATTAGACATTGAGATATTCTCATACTCCTTTTAATTTCTGGGAGAATCAAAGAGATAGGCAGAGAGAGAGAGAGGAGGCGAGATATGGATGGATTGATAGTGAAAAGTAGCGAGAGAGAGAAATAGAGAAGTATTTGAGAGGGAGATACTATGATAGACATAGAGAGAAAGAGAGGAGAGAGAGAGAGAAATAGAAAATGATAATATAATTACCTGATTTCCTTGAAAAGTACAAGAAGGCATACGAGAGAAAGAGATAGAAGAGAATGAAAAAAAAATTTTTTTCTGGTAAATCAGAAAGAAGATGGATAAGGATTTGACAGAGAAATAGAGAGAGAGTTTGGAGAGATCAAAGTGTTACCACTGACCGACGTGTCCTTTGACCAGAAGCCAATTCAAGTTTCTTCATTCAAAATGCTGATAATTTCAAGTTTTCCACTAAATATAGCTCTTGGAAGAGAAAAAACCCCAAGTAAACCCTTCGGAATGGAAGAAATGAAAAAAAATAGAAGAAAGCCAAGTTGAATTAAGGAAGTGAGTGGACACATAGAAGATGGCCTTAGGGCATCAAAGACAATTTCGCAAAAATGCTAATAAGGGAGGAGAGGTGATGATGCAGATGGCAGCGGATGAATTTTCAAAATATAAATGAAATTAATCGAAATAATAAAATTTGTAATGGATATTAAGTATGTGTTATTGAAGATAAGAGATGAGTGGGGATAGGTAGACGACGAACGAACGAACGACTTCAGATAACTGTCTGTGACGTCATCAGGTCATTTTATGTCCTGTAATCATTTGTAGAAATTGAAGAAAGAGAGAGAGAAAGAGAGAGGGAGAGAGGTAGAGAGAGAGGGGAGGGGGAAATAAAAATAGAAAAGTGAACTGAATGAGAGGGAGAGAGAAACAGAGGGATTATGTTTTGTAAGCTAATAGACCACCATGAACAGAAGAGAGACAGAAAAAATAATGGAAATTGATATGTATGGAACAAGAGTGACGAAAGAAACATCTAGAAGAGATCATGAAAGACCAAAAGAGTAAGAGAGGTAGAGAGAGAGAGATCAAGAGAGTGAAAGAATGACAAAGAGTAAGAGGTAAGAGATGAGAGAGAGAGAAAGAGGATAAGAGGTTAGTGGATAAAAAATCAAGAGAAAGGAGATATTCTTCTTCTACTACTTCTTCATCTTCTGAAAACAATATAAGGGAATGATGATGACGATGATGATGGTGATGATTGTGATGATCAAAGTTGTGATTTGTATCCGTGTATGTAATGATTGTTTATCAATAATAGTCTCTCAGTCTCTTTTAAGAGAAATATAGAGAGAGATATAGTATGATATGAAGAGAGTATGAGAGATAGAGAGAGAGAAAGAGAGAGATTGATTATTGATGAGATATATTAGCAGGGATGATTATTGCCAGATGAATAGCCTCCAAAAGAGGGTAATTAGTTAAGAAAAGAAGAAATGATATGATTGTCAAGTAAGAGAGAGAGATGAAAGAATCAAAGATAAACTTAAGCAATGTTGTTTGTGTTAATTCTATTTCTCAACAAGTCAACTACATTGGCATAGTTAATATAAATAAACTGACCCCATGGCCGGAGGTGAATCTGGTGTCTCAAACACCACTACTGATGCTTTTTTCGTTGGTGGTGGAGCTCCACGTACAGCCTTAAATGATTATAATTTGAATATGCTAATGAGATATGATAAGGATGTGGGAGATGATTGCCATCTGGGGGAAGATTGGGTTATGAAAGGGACGACAGAGTTGTGCACTTTATGCTCTTTGATTATATTGAAAAAAATGAATTTTAAAAATAAAATTTCTCACCCGACTACTCATGATGACGTATAGTTAACACTAACTATAACAACTTGCCATCGGGCAAGTGTTTGTTCATGAAGGTCTTTACGTTTTACAAAAGTAATTGAGAAAATTGATTTTTAGATAGTTAAATTGATTATAAAATATATTTTATTTGATAATCATGAAACAGGTCCACGCTCCGAACGAACATTGAGTCAGAAAAGTTAGTTGTGAATGTAATTTTTGACATACATCCAAATATAATTATATGATATAGTTAGTAGAGTAGTATTGAAATGAACCTCGGCATCTGTAGGCAATGTAGGGCATGATGATGATGTAGAAGGAGAAGCTTTACTAGGAGGAGAATCCAATTCCATATTTAAGCTTCAATGTATTTGATGTATTGGCGAAGATAATGCAATACAAGCTATATGAAGTGCGAAAGCTCAAAAAGATATCTCAGACGAGAGCGAACGAAAGAGATTAACAATCAAAAAAGAGAGATTTTAAAATTCTTAAGGTCGAGAATGAGAATATCACATTGATGTTCATCAATTTCATTAAAATTGTCTTTTTGCTTATCAAAGCCTAACATGACCGAAAACGGGTTATGGCAGGAAGATCGTTTAAGAAAAGAAGCAATTGAATTACAAAAAAGGAGAACAAAAAAAGTTTTTTTGTTTTCTTTAATTATCTTTTCTAATCACGATGATCATTTGATGTCGGTGAATGCTCATTCAAGAAGCATTCACGTGATGCGCACGTGAAATCGAATAACGTGAATTTTGTCCGTGAAAAATTCATTTTTGATTTATGTGAATGCGTGAAACGGTTGTGTATATGTGTATTCTCTTCTCTTGTCTCTATTTCTCTATTTCAGTGTTACATTGGGCTGTTTTTGCCTTATTTGACTTTTATACTCATAAATCGCTTGATGCTATCGCTTTACAACAAGAATATGAAGTGTGTTCATGAATTGCAATTGAAATATTTAAATATTTCGAAGTTTATATACCGTACTTTTAACCGATTACTATAACTTCTATTGTGCCATGTGACTTAATGACACCGCAAAATCTGTTGTGGACATTGAGCTTTGTTAAGAGATAGATAGATAGAGAGAGAGAGAGATAGGGAGTAAAGGATAGATTGGCAGAGAGGGTGTTATGATTAACAGTTCGCCACTAAACACTGACAATGATCTTCGATAATTAGCTGATCAGCTCTCCCTTTCTGCCAGCTTTCTATTTTTCATAGAGTCTTAGGGTATGTATTTGAGACAGACAAAAAGGGGGGGGGCAAGAGATGCTTATTTGTTTGTTAGTTGGCTGGTAGGGAAAGCTTTTACTGCTTTTCCCATCCTCAGCAAACAGTTTTCTCATCGAAATCGTCGTCTATGGAAGGCTATGTCATTTGCGTCCCTTTCCCTTTCTGTTCTGTGATATTTATGTTATTTTAAATATAAAAATAAATTTTTTTTGTCCTAAAATTGAAAAAAGATATGGGATGAAGGGAAGAGGGGAGCAGGTTGGAATTGGCAAGAGAACAGGGATGTCAGATGTCCGAAGTCAAAGGTGGAGGATGAGAGAGCAAGGACGATGGCAAGTGGGAGGGAAGAAAGGGAATATTGTGGGTAAAGCAAACCTCGACAGAGCTGATACGACGACCGGAACTAACACGAGGAATCGGAGGAACATTGTCTTCGCCATCAAGAACTCTGTAAACAGACAAAAAAAAGAAATTAAAAACATATTTTTTTTTGTTTCATTGAAATTCTATGAAAGGAAATGTAACGAAATATCTTTCCCTGTCCTCAATGGTAAGCGTATTTCAGTCTTTTTTTTTGTTTTAAATGAATTTTTTTCTCGTGTATTTTTCATAACAATATGAAAAGAGAGTGAATGGATTGGTATAGAAGTTAACCTTGCAATGCCCTCTGGCACAGGTCGATCAGCTCCTCCATTTACAGCTTCAGCCGGAGCTGCTGTTGCATCTCCTGCAACAGTCTCCGCGACAGTTCGATCATCAGACTCTGGCATCTCTTAACTCAGGTTTGAGACACTAAAACAATCATCATCATCATCAAATTGAATTACCATATTAGTGAGAAAATAGAATATGCAGATATACATGTATACACGATAACAAAATGATATGATTGTTCAGCAACAAGAGAACGTTGGCTAACTTCCAAATATGGATATGCAACAGTGTGTGGGATTGTGCACGTGAACATAGAATGACGACATATTTCACGTGTACAGTATAAGATCTCATTGAATGAACAGTGTCAATTCACCTCATCTAACGGATCTGTTGAGACATGAGAGAACTGAAATTGAAAAAAAAAAATTCTTTTTATATATTTAAAATTTAAAAAGAAAAATGTATAATTTATGCAATTGTAAAGAGATTGATGGGGAGAGGTAATGTATGCAATAAATCAAAAATTTAAAAATGTTTTGAGTAGATTAGTTGAATTTCGTCTTTTGATTATAAAAAAGAGAGAAGAGATATGATTAAAATAGAAATTATATGTTCAATCACTTAATTCTTCTGAAGATTTCCACTCCATTCACTCTCTCTCATAACTGGATAAGAAATGAAAGAAAGAAAGAAAAAAAAAGAAAAGAGGAAAGGCAAGAAATACAAAAAGAGAATTGGCAGATAAAGAGAGATAATGAGAGTATAAGAGAGATAACAAGGGAGAGAAGCAGAGAGATGTTTAGTTGCAGAAAGATTCAATGGCACTATATGTTTTTGATGATAGACACACAGAGAGACAGAGAGGTAGAGAAAAGAAAATGGGAGGGAAACAAGCTGATATTCTGGAAGTAAAGCAATTGAAATGGAAAAAAAAAGAGAAAAATTGAAATAATGGGGCCAGGAAAACACTTTTTGTACCTTGTTAGAAGTAATATTTTCATTTTTGTCGTCTTCAGTATCAAGAGCAAAGATAACAAATAAAAAAGTAAAGAAACAATTAGATGCTTTTAAGAAGGAATGAAAGAGCTATTAGAGAGAGAGAGAGAGAGAGTGAGGTTGATAGAAGGAGAATGAGAAAGAGAAGGAATGGAGGTGAATGGTACAAGACATTATCACAGGGCGAATATCTATAAAGAGACAGAAAGAGAGAGAGAGAGAGAGGAAAGGAGGATACTAAGAGAGAATAGTTGTTTATGGATAAAATAATGAAATTAAGTGAAATAATTAATTTCATTTGATTCACTTATTCAGTTGCTGTAGATTGAAAATATTCCAAAAATAATAAAAAAAAGCTTTGAAAAGCTCATTTTAAGGTTTTAAGCTTTCAACTTTTGAAAAGAGCTACTAGTCTATGTTGTGTGACGAAATATATATACATATATGGCAATATGGCGAGAAGACAAGTGATGGGTATGATGACAACTAAATTTTAAAATCCCTTTTATAGGGAAGACTTTAAATGCAAATTTTGTGTAAATTTTTAGCGAAAGATCATTCATAGAGAAACTAGAACAGTCCTATCTTTGGTGTGTATATCATGTAACTGTAATATTGATAATAAGTAAGATGTTAAGAGAGAAATGTTATAAAGAGAATGGAGAAGAATAGAGAGGGAAGAGATAGAAAGAGGGAAGCAAAGGGAAGAGCTATGAGAGAGGAAGAGAATGAAAGAGATAGATTATGAATATGAGAGATGAGGAGTCAAGAGCAGTTTCAGTAGAAGTTGATTGAAATGATAAAAGAGTTGAAATGAATTGAAAGGAGGACAGAGGAAGTTATGTTAAAAGATTGTCTCTCTCTCTCTCTTATATAGAGGGAGTATAAAGAGAGCAAACGACTTGACAACTTTTGATTATAAGAAATTGAGGGAGTAAGAGGGTGGAAAAGAGAGAGAGAGAGATGGAAGGAGAGTAAGAGAGTCTTAGAAAAGCAGAGAAAGACTTGTTCAGGTGGGGCATATTTGATTGAAATATAGAAGTATGTGTCAAGTTCATTGAGAAAAGGTAATACTGATGAAGAGGTTAAGATTGAATTTCGAAAAACAACTAAATCTGACTGTTTGTTTAATTCATTTTCAAAGTTTATTTACAGAATTCATGATCGACAAAAGTAAAAAATCAGTTAATTCCTATCAATTTCCATCATTGATGTCGCTTTAGCCATTCGTCTTTTCCTCTTTTTCAACTTCAAATTTATCAAAACACAACGGGAAAAAGGATGGTGAGACATCTGGATGTTCATTCACGTGAACAGATTCAAATAAAATACAAATTTGAAAGAAAATATGATCAATTGGCTATCGTTTTTGACTTTTTCAACAAAATTCTTACAAAAATACGCTTCTCCTTCCTTCCTGGAGAAATGAGAGGGAATGACTAGAGAGAGAGAGAGAGAGAGAGAGAGAGGGAGAAGCATATAGGTTGAAGACAAAGCAGAGACATAGAGTCAGAAAGAGGGAAAGATGAAGAAAACAAAGAAAGAGAGCAAAGGAATAACGAAAGAAGGCTAGAAGTTCCAAGAAGTTCAAGATGAGAGAATGCGCTCATAATGTTGATGACAAAGAGACGCAGACAACTAAAATGTAATGATAGAGTGCAACAAGTGATGAGAGCATCAGAGAATAAGAGATGTAATTAATGAAATTTCGCATAATCAGCATATTTAAGGGGAAGTAAGAGAGAGAGAGCAATGAAACTGTTTTAAGGAAAGTTTCCTCTTATATAGAAGTTTATTTGTTTATAAATGACATCATTAATCATAAATATTTGTCAATAAATATTCTGTTAATTTGTTTGATTATTTTGCTTTCAATTCACATTATGAGGATCCATGGGTGTCGCATCTTCAGTGTTATCGAGCAGCCAGAATGTCGTGACAGGACCTTTACCCTTTAAATGAAACACAAATTAATTATTTTTTTAATTAAATATAATTAAACTTTAAGTATAACTGTGCCGCGTTCTTCCACACGAAATTCCGGAAAATCTCGCTGTATAAGCTCACTGGCATTCTCTGAGACTTGAATTTTGCTGGGAACGCCTGTACCAGCCATACGACAAGCCATATTAACACTTTCGCCAAAAACACAAAATCTGTAAAATCGTTTTTCCTCTTCTTCTAATTCATTTTGTTAATCTAGGAGAATTGTCTTTCATATTTCAGTCCCTGTCTGTGCCACTCTTCATTACATCTCCTTTGATGTCTTCATGCTTTCAGCCTCTCTACACACGGTCATGAGCCTTCTCAACAGGAGTTGCAACTTAGCCGGGAAAACTCTTTTTTTTTCGTACAAAAATAGAAAAATTATAATTCAGTAAAGTTCATAGTACAAACAATAAAATATATGAAAATCTAAACGTGTAATCGCTTAATACCTCGACGGAACATTTGGCGATTCAAACATCTTCTCTTCGTTTCATTTTTAAAAAGTTCTTACTCCCCCTCTATCTCTCTCTACCTCTACATATCTCACTTTCTCTCTTTTCTCCTCCCTTCATCTCTTTTTCTCTTCCATATCTTCATCCTTATTTCAAATTTAAAAGAAAAACCTCGGAGCTGTTAAACCAAGTACTCCAGCAGCCACAGCTCCATAACTTATTCCCATTTTGACTCGTAATGTATAATCCGGTCGATGAAGTACAACCAGTGTTTTCATAAACTTCAAATAAGTTTTCAACAACAATCTGAATTCTGTCAGAATAAAAAAACCTTTTTGAGTTCGAGAGAAATTCGACAAATTTCCGTCAAATGTAGGTTGTCCGGTAAATCCGGAATTCCGCTCACAACAAGGTAGGCGTCGCCGACATTTTCAACCTCAAACATGAATCTATGTTTTGTACATAAACTGAGAAAATAAAACCTTGAAAGCTTTGAATTTTAAAATTATTTGATCAAATGACGAGTATAGTTGTTGTAGAATTTCCAGCACATGGACAGGAATGCATGATTCACATAGCTCAGAAAACTGACACACATCCACCATAAGTATGGTTACGGATGGATGAAGGCGTGGCTTAAGCTGTTGACCATCACACAAAGCTTCTGCCACTTCTCTGGAGCACATTATAGTGAACATTGGTTATCAGAATGGATAACCTTGGCATAACCTGATGAAGAATTTGTTGTGTTCGAAACCTTTCCTCTTCAATTCGCGATATTCGTTCAGCGACGATTTGCTCCAAGTTATCAGAGTACTCATCAACCATCTTGATCAACTGATCAATGAGTGTGCCCCCTCTTCAAATATTTTTGTTTGGAAAGTATGTTATGATTGCTTAACTGTTTTCCGAATTCCCTAGCAATTGCGTCAATGATTTTGAACAAAGCTGGACGTGCAGAGGTTTTTACCAGCCAACACTGTTGGATAATTGAAACGAGTCGAAGAGTAAGGTCTGGTGACTTCTCAGGCAGCACCGGGTGAAACGGAGAAGAAGATGAGGTGACCAAATCGATAATCTCTGAATTGATTATCAAACGGAAATTGAATAGAAGATAGTTATGGAACCTTCAACACTCTCACGTCGTTCACAGAAAGGACGGCGAACGAAGAGAATTTGATAAATCAGCATTCCAATCTGATAAATATCGCCATGAACAGTCGGCTCTATTGCATAAACATCTTTATGCTTCTTGATTGTCTCCAAGTATTCAGGAGGATATTGAAGATAGCCTATGATCGAATAGGATAATGGTAACATCAATGATATCTTACATCTTGGTAGATCCTCTAGGCTGTCATAGGATCCAGCAATCAAGTCCTTATGTACCATCTGTAATATTTGAATTCATTTTAGAGAAGAAGCGAAGAGTTGTAACCTTATTATGTAAAATACCTTTAAGACCGAAATCAGTCAGTTTCACAACCCAATAACCATCAACAACACAATTTGATAAAAACAGAGCTCCGTGAGCTTTGATTGAACTTTGATGTATATATTGGACGCCCTTATAATATATTATATTATCTATAATATACATTTAATATAAGCTTTGAACTTACATTCAGAATATGCTTGATGAACGTTGCCTGGAAATTTCGACCTAACTCACGATCACTTGAGAATATGATATCGTCTAAACTTCCTCGAACGCAGAATGACCATAAAGAGACTAATTGAGATTGTTGGTTGAATGCTACACCAGCAAATGTATTTATATTCACATGATGCAAATATATTAACTTAATTTATATAGCTTATATAGTTATATCATATAGTTAACAACCTGATTCAACCTTTCCATTTCTTTTCGACTAAATGTTATTGCTCTTTTCTGATTATAGACATGAATGTACATCTGCAATGATAACCATTTCTGATGTCTTATCTCTCTCACATGAAAATGTGTTTACGTGAAGTATCACGTGTGTGTTCCATGTTCATACGCACGTGCACTGCCAACAACATTCATTGCCAACGCTTCATTTCATTGCATGCGGATGTGTGGAACGGTTGTTTCTCTTTTTTTCTTTTATTTTTCATTTTCATTTTTCATTTCTCTATTTGGATGCATCGCCATGCTGCCAAATGGTGTTTTCTCGTTTTCCAGTTTTCAGAATTACCTTACTTCCATCCAGATATGCAAATTTTTTCTCTTCAAAATCAGGATTGGTTGACGTTGAAATCTTCTGACTACTGGCTGTACTTATACGTCGGAAACCCGGATGCTGTAATAGGTAAGAAGATTAATGAATTATTTTGCAAAATTCTTGCATCATTGTCAATATTCTTGAACGTAATGTGTTCGTGACCAATTCTCCATGGCATTTTCTTGATTTTTCGATTCTTCCTGCAAGAATGATATCATGCAGGAAATAAAAATGCTGATGAAGCTTACATATAAAAGTGAAATATAATTAATATGGGTATAGTTAGTATAGTTGATATAATCAAGATAGTCAAGGTGAGAGGTAGTGATTCACATGACGAGCCATCATATGAGCATTTGGGAAATGATGAAGGAGATTCGAACAGCGTCCTCGAAGTGTATTCCGTTTCTATCAGCTTCTACATCGTTCAGATGAATAGTTGAAACTAAGAAATGATTATCTTACATGCCAAATGCAGCTGTCTGAAGAACAATCTTGTTGAACTGGATTCAACAGAGCTGCTGGTACGGCAGTTCCGTTTAGATAAGAATAAATAATGAGGAAAGGCAGACGCCCACCTTCGGGTGATATGAAGATCGGTCCCGTATACCCTAAGAGACTCGAAAGAATGCAAAAGAACTGAAAGATACCATAATCAGTGTGTTGAGTAATGATTTCCCAAAGATGACCAATCGACTTGTCTTTAAAAACATCCATCTTGTTAAGAACATTCAGGGTATCACAGATCAACAAGTTGGAGAACAATTCGTTGCCCATCTGAATGCTTCCGACCTGTGACTTTAGTTTACATAAAGACACACCGTGAGGTTGTTCAATGAAGCCCATCTCTCTAAACTTGTAGTGTTTTTATGAATTGACTGAATCTGAACAATGGCTCATATGAGAATGATTGATGAAAGAGCATTACCAAGTAGATGAATGGATATGGCTGATGTTTCCTTTGATGAAGCTTCTCGAACAGCACATCAGGTGATGATCTGAAAAAAGAGCAAACGAATGAATAAATGATGGTAAAAAAGCCTTTTTGCTGTACTTATTTTGATCCAAAAATAAAATTATAAATTCGTTTGGTCGTTCAAACTCCAGAATGTTCGGTAGCATTTCGTTGACAAAAATATCAGCCGAGCACAAAACGATCAAAACTTTAAAGAAAACAGAAGTTTAATGATGTAACTGAATGATATTTGTATTGAAAGCTAGTTGATGTACCTCGACTTTTCGTTAAAATTTGTGAAAACCAATGATACTCTCCGATTTCAATATCAATTGAGATGTTCTGTATGCGTGGATGAGATTGAAATGCAGATGCTATCCGTTGAGCATTATCCATATTCGAAGCATCATGTACAATGGATAACTATAATATGATATAATTAATTTTATTTTATAACTTTTTGCATTTACATTCATCCATCTCATACGCCATGCTAACCCAATAAGGGAATGTGCAAGACCTTCAATCGTATCAGGCTGAAGTGAGATTGTCGTTTTTTGACGTGAAGCTGTCAATCGTGTACTAGTTGACAGATAAAGCTTATTCCATCTTAATGCTAGCTGAGAAATGGTTTCAGATTCTATAATATCATCATTTCAAGTTATATGATATAGTTAGAGAATAGGTATGTGACCTTCATCACAATATGCTCCTGTTAGTATATCAACACCTAGGTTATAATGAAATTGAACGGCGTTCTCCAGACCATTGAACTGTTCACATGCATCAAGTAGAACTAATCTGAAGAAAATAAAAGAAAAATTTTAATTATGTGCATATAGTTAACTCAATAGATGATGTATTAACACATTTGGCAAGCACTTGTCTTTCCTCATCTCCAAATGATATCAAGTGTCCTACACGTAATTTGGAATAGATTAAATATGGTAATAATAGAAGAATGATGATATACATACTAGAAGCTGATGAATGATAATAAGCTTTATATGATATAGTTAGTAAGCCTATCTCTAAATCTCCATATGAGATGAGATAAGTTGAAAGCAAGACAGCAAGTGTGTCTACGTGTAGACGAAAGGATGAGGTATGGGGGATTGTCCCGAACACATAAATTGAGAAGATGTCATGTTATATTTTTGTTAATATTTCATATTTTTATGTTACATTTTCTTGACGACACGTACACGAAATCATTTATATTTCTTTGTTTTTCTCCATCTCCAAATGGACTCTTAACTATAACGTATAAATAATTTATAAACATTCTTTAACAATATCTCAATCACATGATGATGATGATGCTCAATCAGGCATACGCCGATACTTTGCTGCTAACTATTAAAAATACATAATCAATATAATTAATATAATTTAAAATTCTACCTGCAAATGATAAAGCTTTTGGTTTTATCATTGTTTCTGATGATGTTGATGATCGGGAGATGAAACGTAATGCACGTAAGCGCAATGGCTTTATGAACACAAGAAAGGCTATGTTGGTAAGTGTCATGTGTAGATGTGAACTGATACGTAACACATTGACTATCCCTAGAATCTCATTATTATATGATATCAATTAAATATGCAATAATTAGAGAATATTATAATATTTGTCATTAGAAGCAGAAAAAAAAACGAAAAAGTAATAAATAGACACAGCCGGCTAGCAATGCTTTCAAGCATGCAAATGACTCATTTGACTTCTGCACACGTTATACACGTGTGTTAACGAAAATAACTTACATGGAATATCGTTTGGAATGATTAATGTTAAGACGGTTGTTATAATGAGAGAGCTTATTCCTGGAATGCTTAACTGAAAGTGTAAGAGTAAGAGATTAGAGCTCGCTAGGCAAAGGGTATGCACCATGATGATGAAAGTCTTTATGAAGAGAAGACGTAGCTTCTGCGTCTGTTTTGACAACTTGGGACCGTATATGAATAGATACACCATATGAGCAATCAGTATAAGTATAACTGTACAAATTATAATATAAAGGAACATGATTTGTCTGGTAACGCTCTTGTGAAAACCATAATCACTTAGGAGTATCTGAAACGATCATTCAAGCTGCACATTCTGGAGTTAATCCAACTTTGCTATAGTTTGTATCAACATGTTCAATAATCTTGGGAATCAGAATAATATAGATGAGGTTAAATAGAACTACGAATGTTCGCTGAGATCTTTTTTCAAAATGGAAAAATGATGTTGGAGGGATCAGATGATTATACAGTGCAAGACCATACAAGCAGTATGACAAGATGTTCATTATGGCAACAATAGATTGATAGATCTGCAAGATTCTTTATCAGATGTGTACATCAAGCCAACCAACCTGTTGATATCGAAGGTTGATTGAAAAGAAAAGAGAAAATATGCCAAAGTAGTAAGTGTAATCATTGATGTAAACCTGATTTATAAGAATGGTATAAGATAGCAGACAGATTGTTGTTGTTATCTAAAACATGAGAGAGGAGTAAGCTTATAACATCCAAGCAATGTACCTCAACATTTAGAAGGACATACCGAAAGCTTTCAATCTCTCGCTTCGGAGTTGTCAAAGTTATAAAAATGATAAATACATTACAAGAAACACCAATAAATCCAAATATGAGAAGAGCTAGCCAGAAGCCGAAGAACTCTTTGAATATCCGCTGATCATAGTCGTTCAAAGACATCTTCAAAAGTCGCAGCAAAGCTAGATTAGAATGATATATTGACTAATCTTTATTCTATGAATAATACATAGATGGTGTTCACAATACAGATTTTGTGCAAGCGAAAGACGTTACTTCACTCAGTGTTACAAGCTTATGTTCTATTAGCGATCAGTGTTTTACCCTGCTACAGTGCAGTTATAGAAAGAGTCCTTGTACGGTAATGCACTTCTTCCTATAGCAATAGACTTTTTATTCTGTTTTCTGGAATATTAGGAGGAAAATCTGTTTATAAGGAAAAGTTATAGAGAGATGAACGTCATCAACCGACTTTCAGAGAAACCGAAAGTTTCTGAAGCGGTGTCACAGATTCAGTTGGAGGAGGTAACAACCAGAAACATCTTGTCAATTTACAAATTTTTCTATTTGAGAGTACAAATTACACAAACAGCTTAAACGAGCTACTATCTTTTATGAAAAAAATTTTTGGAATAGATGTGAAGAATTTTGATTCATGCTCAGGCGATCACTGTTGCTGCTTGCTCATCATCAGTTCAATCTGAGAAGTCAGTTAGAGAGGAAGTAATCTGCTATGAATCGGTGTTTCCATTGGAATGGAAAATTTCAAGAAATCGTTCAATCTTGTAAATCATGGCGTGCACAACTTCACGACTTTTTTTTGTTTTTGAAAATTAAAACTCAAGAGCATCTGGAATTCAAATTAGATTCTGCGTATGCTCGCTCACCACGCGACTGAACCTGAGAAGGAGAAAGAAAGTAAAAGTGGAAACTCTGTTGACTGATTGAACATAACGTTCACAGTGACAATCAGAGATGAAGCTCATCCTAACAGCTGATGAAAGAAAACCTAAACAATAACTTGTAATTGGGTGAACACAAGTACTCAAATCTTTTATGGTTTACCTTAATCCAAGTAAGGAAACATGTGTGAGAGTTTCAACTCTGTTTTGTCACGCAGAAACTATTCGTTGGACAGCTGCAGAGAAGGATATTATCTTATAATTACACGATGTTAATTGTTCTTCTGATGTGATAAGCTTGATGTAATCA